TCTTTGAATACTCTATTTCTTGACTTTGTTTGATTTAGATTCCTAAATGAGATGCCTATTGCTCAAAAAGTCTTTAAAATGCTATTTTTCTGACGATATAGCTTCAATTTTAGATTTTAATATTTAAGATTCGGAGCCCTAAATAATTCGAGATTAGGCTGAGATAATGCACTAGTCAATTGACACCCCCGCCCCCCGAACCCCGGGGAATAGCGGGGATTTTAACGTTTGAGTGGTGTTAAAATAAGACATTTCTCCTGGTAGTCGGGGGCACATTTACTGTTAAAAACCCCGCTACTATAGCCCCGCTACTGTGACCCCGCGCGTAACTCTCTCAGTTCACTCGTAAATCATCATTATTGCAGCGACATCATTATTATTTTTAATGCAAGAAAAAATAGACAAAAAGACAGGTTTTTTTATTTGCATTTAGGACATAACCATACTCCTGAAGGGGCCCCTTTGAGGCCCACACAGGAGATGTGATACCACTGCCAATGCCAATGCTTTCTGGGTATTTTTCAAAATGGCCGACCACTAGTTTCCAGGCTCTTATATATTCAAACGAGCGTTAAGATCCCCGTTCGCTGCCCCGCTGCGAAAACAATTCGTTAAAATCCCTACCCCCCGGTGCCAATCTTGTTGTAAAAGCACGTTAAAAACGCGTCACTGCCCCGTTCAGTGCCCCGCTAGTCCCGGGGTTCGGGGGGCGGGGTTTTCAATTGACTAGTGCATAAGGGGCCGTGAAACATCGTTTTATTCACTCGAATTTGGAATTCTTTACAAGTTTATCAAAGTTAAGAGCCCTACACGTTATAATCTTAAGTCGGAATAGAAATTCGTTGCGTTTAACTACCCATTATCGATGACTAAAGATGGCGAATTTACCAAGGATTAGTATGCAGCATYGTAAAGTTTGTCTGAGTTCTCGACGGGGTGCAAAATATGTGACGTCATCTGTGCGGAGCGCTATTGAATACGCTGTTTCTTTAGTATAATACTGAGAAACAGGCTGCTAAAGTTGAGGAACGCACCAATAATGTCGACGAAASCCACCAGGCCGCTGTTGGCGAAAAGCACACGAATAAAGGCAGTGAAGGTAAGTGCTTCGGTTTGATTCATTTGTGACTGTTTAAATGCGACTGAACGGCGTTCTCCGGCAAGTAAAGTGATTTATTGGAAATGGGTGCGCAGAGGGATCAACGCGCATTATACGCCCTTTCCGTCAGTTCAATGCTAATTTTTTTACAAATTAAAATGATATCCTATAACTCTACCTTTCAGAGCAATATTCCAGTGGTCCAAAAGACGATCCAGATCCAGACCCGAGCGATGATTACAGAATGGAAAGTGACCCCAGAGGATTGCTGGTCATCATCAACATCCAGAAATTTGCTGCTGATCCCGCACTTTCTGATTATAACAAAAAACAGTTCAGGAGACCATCGGCCGAGCGCAAAGGCTCCGAAAAGGATGTTAATGAGCTGATTGACCTTTTCGGTCGATATTTGAATTTCAAAGTTTCCACCATCATAGACAAACCAAGCCAAGAGATTTTAAAAGAACTAAACGACATTGCTGACAACAATGACTACAAAGAKTACGACTGTCTTGCAGTGTGCATCATGAGTCATGGAACAAACGATGCATTCTGTGCATACGACGGGAWACAAATCAAAGTCTCAAAGGTTCTCAACATGTTCTCCAACTCGAATTGTAAGATTTTTCGAGACAAACCAAAGCTGTTTTTCATAGAGGCATGTCGTGGTCAAAAGGGCAAAGGGGCCATGGACAATGTAGTTGTTAATAGTGGGCCATCAGGCAACGAAGACACATYCGAGGAACATACACAAATTATAACGAGCATAGATCCTGACATGGCAGACATGCTCATTGCTTACTCTTGTTTTGAAGATTACATTTCAAATCGAGATCCAGAAAAAGGAAGCTGTTTTATCCAAATATTGGTTTGTGTTTTCAAAGTATATGCACACAAGGAGCACGTTATGGATATGATGACTAGAGTTAACAATGAAGTACACGAACACATGCATGGTGTACAAATAGGGCGAACACAAGTCCCAGCTCCTACGTCAACACTACGTAAAAGAGTGTACTTTCTACGTACTGAGGTGATGAGGGTCGTCTTGCTACATTTTTTTACTGAATTGTCACTTCTTGTCTTATTAGTCTTTTCAAGGTCACCTGTTCGAGTTAAATGATGCACTTTGTAAATAACGATACAATTATTCAATACAACAATACCATAGAACAAAGTACCATTCACAGTTGGTAACACAAATTTCAATGTATATTGGAACTTTCTGATTCGTGCTTTGTGAAGGGATGAAAAGTGATATTTATGCGTGATATTGGACGTCCAATACCTGTTAAGGGTCTGTTTGTACTAATTGAATGTACCTCTTTAATTAGGATAGTACCAAATCACAGGCTTCTGAACGCAATAGCATCAGGGACGTCACTGTTACTGAAACCCGGGCTGCTGAACACGAGGGCAACAGTGAAATTAGTAAAAGTAAGTGTAACCATTTTTTGAGCTCGAGGTATTTTTTCTATGGAAAGGGATATTTTTATATGAAACATCCATGTAACTTTTTCTCTCAGAGCAATACTTTTTCCACCGGAAAGACGGTCCAGATTCGAGCGATGTGTACAGGATGAAAAGTAACCCCAGAGGATTGATGGTCATCATTAACATGCAGAAATTTGATGTTGATCCTACAATTATAGATAAAGTACAGCTTGAGAAAGAATTATTCAAGCGAAACGGATCTGAGAGGGATGTTGGTGAACTAACTGATCTTTTCAGTGGAAAGCTAAATTTCAAAGTCTGCACCATCATCGACAAAACAAGGCTTGAACTTTTGAGAGAACTGCGAAAGTTTTCTGAGGACTCTGCCTACAAAGGTTACGACTGTCTTGCAGTGTGCATCATGAGTCATGGAAAAGACGACAAATTCTACGCACACGATGGAAAATCAATCAAAGTATCAGCTGTTTACAACATATTCTCCAACTCGCTGTGTGAGGGTTTTCGCTTCAAGCCAAAGCTGTTTTTCATACAAGCAGCATGTCGTGAACGAAGGGGCAGTGATCTTGATATGGCAGACATGCTCATCGCTTACTCTGATTACCCTTCATACCGAGACACGGAAGAAGGAAGCTATTTCATCCAAAGCTTGGTTCGATTTTTCAGAGAATATGCAGATTCGGAACATGTTGAAGAGATATTGACAAGAGTTAAAAATGAAGTTCACAGGCTTATGCAATTAACAGCTTACCCTAGTTTTGAAGATTACACTTCATAYCGACACACGGAAGAAGGAAGCTATTTCATCCAAAGCTGGATTCCATTTTTCAGAGATGCTTATACAGGGCTTATGCAAGAGACAAGTACGCAAGTCCGAACACAATTACCAGCTTCTGCATCGACACTCCGCAAAAAACTGTATTTCTGGCCAGAAATGGATTTTAATGAGGGATCCTAAGGAATACATAGATGTAAAATGATGAATCGCAGCAAGCTCAAACTTAAGACATTTCTCCTGGTAGTAGGGGGCACATTTACTGTTAAAAAACCCGCTACTATAGCCCCGCTACTGTGACCCCGCGCGTAACTCTCTCAGTTCACTCGCAAATCATCATTATTGCAGCGACATCATTATTATTTTTAATGCAAGAAAAAATAGACAAAAAAACAGGTTTTTTTATTTGCATTTAGGACATAACCATACTCCTGAAGGGGCCCCTTTGAGGCCCACACAGGAGATGTGATACCACTGCCAATGCCAATGCTTTCTGGGTATTTTTCAAAATGGCCGACCACTAGTTTCCAGGCTCTTATATATTCAAACGAGCGTTAAGATCCCCGTTCGCTGCCCCGCTGCGAAAACAATTCGTTAAAATCCCTACCCCCCGGTGCCAATCTTGTTGTAAAAGCACGTTNCGACACACGGAAGAAGGAAGCTATTTCATCCAAAGCTGGATTCCATTTTTCAGAGATGCTTATACAGGGCTTATGCAAGAGACAAGTACGCAAGTCCGAACACAATTACCAGCTTCTGCATCGACACTCCGCAAAAAACTGTATTTCTGGCCAGAAATGGATTTTAATGAGGGATCCTAAGGAATACATAGATGTAAAATGATGAATCGCAGCAAGCTCAAACTTTATCTCGCGTTCAGAGGACATATTGGAATCAGCGATTATACAGCCTTTTGCACAAATTATGAGACATTTTTATATATATAAATATACAGCCTTTTGCACAAATTATGAGACATTTTTATATATATAAATATACCTAACCAAATATCAAAAACACCCCAGAAATTATGGTATATCTCTATTATATTTTGTCATGATTGCCTAGCATCAGGTTGTTACAGACAAAATATCAGCGACGGTATCCCATAATTTCTTGGGTGTTTTTGATATTTGGTTAGGTATATTTATATATATAAAAATGTCTCATAATTTGTGCAAAAGGCTGTATATTTATATATATAAAAATGTCTCATAATTTGTGCAAAAGGCTGTACTCTTCATCTTCAATTTTAAAAGAAGTTCTATATTAAAATAATAATACAACTGGCAGGGTTGCTTCAATGCTTTGAGAAAACGTTTGGGTCGTTGTTCTGATCAGCAACTCTAGCGGACATTTTAACCACGATGGTTACACCATAGGAGAATTAAACCCTTGAACTTTTAAAGATGAATCCTGAAACTTATACTAATTAGATTATGCAGAAAAAAACACTAGAGTAGTTTTTATTTGGGCATTATAGATTTTGTAACACGACATACCACACTTAATAATTAATAATAATAATAATAAATAATTAATAATTTAATAAATTTATAAAGCGCTATATAATTACACTCTATAGCGCTTAACAATATATGGTAGTTATTAAATGCATGCGAAATTAAAATTAAAGATAAAAATAACATAAAAAAAATTATAATAATGTCTAGTCCAATAAAATGTCACTTAAAAATAAATAATATGAAAACAATTTCGATACCGGTAAGATATTTACAAGTCATATGCCTTAGTAAATAGATAAGTTTTTAAATGTTTCTTGAATTGATTCAAATTTGTACAATGTTTTAGCTCTCTTGGTAGGCTGTTCCAAAGTATTGCTCCTACATAAGCAAACGATCTTCCGCCAAACGTGGTTTTCTTAATCTTAGGAACACTTAAATCATTGTTTTTATCCGCCCTTGTTCTTTTCATGGGTCGCTTTTTTATCAACTCTTCCAGATAAGGTGGTGCCAGACCATTCCTTGACTTGTAGGTTAGCAGTAGGACTTTGTAGTGTATATATGTCATATAGGCAACTAGTGGAGCTGCTTCATGGTTGGTGTTATGTGATCGAACTTGGCCCTTTGTGAGACAAAKCGTGCTGACATCCTTTGTATYCTTGTAAGATGCTTTAGTGTTGAATCCGGTAACCCACACAATATGACATTGCAATAGTCAAGATGAGATGTTATCATAGTATGCACTATTGTCTTTGCTGAGGATTCATCCAGGCAGCGTCGGATCTTAAACATGTTCTTAAGTGTATAGAAACACTTCCTTGCAACTGAGCTCACGTGCTGTTTGAAAGAGAAATTGTCATCAAAGTCAACACCCAGTAGTCGAATGCATTTATTTATGTCAACTTCTTCATCTCCAATAGTAAGTGACTGTAAATCAACTGGATTACATCTTGGACCTTGTACTGTAAGTATTTCAGTATATCGTCGTTAAGTTTTAGCATGTTGGAGGACATTCACTTTTTTATCTCAACGATAAAATCATGGTCACATTCTCCTTGGAAAAGGCAATATAAAGCTGGCAGTCATCTGCATAGGCATGAAAATTGATATCAAGACCACGTGCAATGTCGCCAAGTGGAGCTAGATACATTGTGAACAGCTTCGGTCCAAGTACAGAGCCCTGGGGTACACCAAAGTCGAGATCTTTGGAGTAAGAAAGAGAGCCATTAATAGCAACTCTTAACTTCCTTCCCACGAGATACGAGCGAATCCATTGTATACACCTGTCAGTAATTCCTAAATGATGTTTTAGTCTAGCTAACAGGATTTGGTGATCGATTGTATCAAAAGCAGCAGACAAATCTATCAATATGAAGACCTCATGGCACTATGATAAACACGATATAGAAATGAAAGAAAGTTATAGTGCTTAGAAGTTATAGTGCTTAGAAGGAGGCAATTCCGGGAGAAGTCCCTTAGGAATAAATTCGGAAAAATTAATTTCCGACCTCGCTGGTCTTCATATTCATATCTTTACATTATTCTATTACCGCAACCTTAACATCTATTTCACCCCGACCTGCTCCCATTCTGGCCTTGTAGCTCAGCTGGTAGAGCATCGGTGTACAATCCGAAGGTCGTGGGTTCGAATCCCAGCGAGGTCGGAAATTAATTTTTCCGAATTTATTCCTAAGGGACTTCTCCCGGAAKTRCSTCCTTCTAAGCACTATAACTTTCTTTCATTTCTATATCGTGATCAGGCATAGTTGACTTGGCCAAAGTAAATAACTCGTTGATATCGCCTTAAAAAACGGCCACGAAGGAGTTTCTCCCCAAATAAAATCGTATTAGTTAGTTTAAATGCTTGTAGACGGAGTTTTGGTTCAAAATAGTGATGTAAAACCGTAAAATAAAGATAAAACGTRGAGAGCTCTGAGAAATCGTGCAGCCGTGACCGTGGCGCTTACATCATCTTATGGGTTCGCACATGGAGCACACAATATTTTACTGTGCATGTCATTACATACGAATATTATTACATCCCAATTTTTTTGACTAATGTTTCAAAACTAAAGAATAAAGTGTTTAAATATAAATCCCAAAAATTGTCCAATATTCTATGACTAACAAATAAAATACAAAGTTTATAGCACACAGTATTGAAGCAACGTGAAATAACTAAAGTGAAATAATGTGAGATACAACGAAAGGACAAAGAAACTAAACGCGCAAAATATATACAAGTATTCGTGTAGTACACTACGTTGTATTTCACGTGTTTATGAAAGTCGACATTGGCGGACTACATGTACTAAAAATGGCTCTATGTTTTGAAACACAGCAAATTCGCCCCATGTAAGAGAATCCAGAGAACTAGAGGATTCCGGATTCCAAGCGCTGGATTCCGGATTCMGAAACATTGGATTCCGGATTTCAAGCCTTGGGATTCCGGATTCCAAAGAATTTTTGTTTTAGAATCTGTATAATAAATGGCCTGATTTTCAAGGTTTTTTTTTTCTGAAAATTTTATATTCAGCGTGTCAGCAGCCTGCGCAGGGGCGTCAGCGGGACGATGTCCTATGTGTTTTTTAGATATCAAAATTTTTGCTGGATTCCAGATTATGGATTCCAAATATTTGGATTCCGGATTCCAGGATAGGGATTCCGGATTCCAAAGCTGTTTTTTTAGTGGATTCCGGATTCCGGATTCTCTTACACGGGGCGAGCAAATGGATAGTTATAAGTTCCGATGTCTCCTTCCTATTTTACTTGTACAACAACCTTCATGGCTTCCACCCAGTGAAATTGAACATAATAGACAAAAGCTCTGAAATATATGGGCTTGCTGTATGGGGACCCACATTTGGACGAGGGCAGGAACTTTATATCGTCAGTGGGGCCTTTGATAGAGTAAACTCACTTACCCATGCAAAGTCATATGAAACACCAAAATGCACAAACGAGGAGAAATGCAAGTTTATATGGTAGACACCTATCAATTCTTTGTTCATGACATTGAGATGTTTTACGAGATGGACGGAAGTACTAGAGCCAGGTAGCACCGCTCGGAACGGGTCTCATGATAGGTTGAGAAAACAATGGACAAACAATAGATAAGCCTTCCAACAATATAACAAAACCTAACCTAACAATAGTGGTGCTGTACTTAAGGAGCAATCAAAAAGCAGGTTTCAATTGGTACTGCATTACTGAAGTACTATGTAAAATCAACTTTAACCAATCGGGTGCCGTGTTATATTTGCGCGTACTGTGATTGGTTGTCTAAAAATAACCACATCTGATGGTGATAGGTTGTTGTAGGGATGGACACTTGTAGTTATGTACTTTATCACACCAATCTCACTAAACTAAAATCAACATATTGGACATCGCTGAAATTAACTGCAAATTTCGTAATAATTGTATACATTATTCAGAATCTTTCTGTAAAAAGAAAGGTATCGAAATAAGCTAAAACAAGCACAAGGGCTATGTAAACATAAAGGGGGGACAGTTGGTTCCTGAGAGAAATAAATCTGTTCTTATGCTCCGCCCAGGAGTAATTAGAATACGTGTTTGCGAGCAAGGCCACGGTACGGACATCCAGAAATAACCAATTCCCAGAATCCCATTTCCAGGAAACTATAATTGTATAAAAGCAGTTAATTAGAAGAACGGAAGTCGCCAACCTCTCCTTAATATTGCTTTTGTGACGATTTCTAAAATTTGATGGCTTGTACATATCGCCCAAATGTCAAGCACATCGAAAAAATAAACGAAAAGAATGAACAAATAGAGCTATTATATGTAACTAACCAGTAATAGTACTTCTTTTCCATTAATACGTATGTAATTACGTATGAGAATGTTAATAGTTTAGGCGACGGTTTTGAACGCCACTTTGTATAGGCAAAGTCTCGCAAAATAACTAGGATACAGTGTGAAATCGAAAAGTTCCAGTTGAATTCCTATTCTGAAAGACTCATCAATTCTCTACGAAAATGAGTTAACTGACGAGTTTTGATCTAAGGAGCCAGTAAACTCATTTTTAATTCTCCATACATTTCTTTGTATTTTTCACGAGTGTCAATATATTCTTGTTATTTTACGAGACTTTGCCTACCCAAGCGAAATGGTGTGAAAACCTTCACTTGATCTATTGAAAGGTGTTTAATCTTTGTCACGAATTCGGCTAAACATCGATAAACTGGCTTCCTTTCCCGTAAAACAACCCATGAAGTCTGCAGAGAGTGGACGTGACATTGAAACCATAATGTAGAAGCAAGCATCCAAACCCTATAATCATGCTCTGTAAATTATCACTGTTATTGATGAAAAACTCAGAGAAAGTTACGTTGCGTGACTACGTATGCTAATTAACGTTTCGTGGCGCGATACGATATGCATGAGTTAAATGTCGCTTTTTCAACATCGATCAATTTCTAATATTTAAGAAAATGTCCTAATATTTCTGAGAAATGTGAAGAAAAACACAACAAACGTACACAATGTAATTATCTTTCTTTCAATTTTTCGTTAACTAATAAAAATCTCACAAGACCTCCGTTTGGGCTACCTGTGATATTAAATTATTCTATGACCTTAACGTTCAAGCCAAAAAACTGCAAGGGTCTACTAGCCACGATTGTCTGTATGCAAATTGAGCGTTTCGTCGATGCTGAGGCGATTGTTGTAATAAGTATGTGACTCTTCGATCCTAAATCTCCTACTTTGAGACGCCGTTATGTTCTATGGAACTCGGATGGCATGGAGATGGCTTTATTTCTTAGTAAAAGAAATGCCTGGCGGACTGCTGCACATTCAGTGAATGTGAGTCATTGGTGAGTGCTGTGTGCTCACTATGTTACAAGAAGCAAACTACGGAAGCATGCATCTATATATCTTTCTGACATAATTTACTACATCTTCATCACAAAAAATCAACTTTCCATGTTTTTTATCAAAAATGAGCGAAGTCGTTGTGCCTGACAAATTAAATCGGCTGTTCGTGAGCTATAGCGACAGTTTCTCCAAAGCGGAAGCAACTGAAATCATCGCCGATTTAAGAACGAAGCAACTCCATCCAAAATCCGACTCATTGGAATCTGATGATTTGTATGGAACATTAAAAGAGCTTTACAAGACTGGAAAAATCGATATCGACGATTTCGCTATGTTAGAATTGATGGCTGGTAAAGACCGTGTAACCAAAGTAACTTCACTAATAAACGACTACAAGCGATCTCACGTTACTTCAAAGGATGACGGACTAATTGGCCGAAACCAAGACAGGAAACGGCTACTCGAATACTTGACAGATAAGGAAAATCACGCAATAGGCCTTTATGGACCTTCAGGAGTTGGAAAAACCAAACTTGCCAGGAGTGTTGGATCTGAGCTCGAAAGGGATTCCTGGGTAGTGTTAACTTTTGATGCACGAGATTTGAAAGACGTTAGTAGTTTATACATGTGCATTCTTTATGAGTTGGGTCTAACCACTCTTGCTAGGAATGTGCAGGAAATGCAGAAAGAACAGTCCTTAGCAGACATGGAAAAAATGCGAATATTATGTGATTTGAGTGATAAAAGTTCGCATTCAAAAACTCTGTTGATTTTTGACAATATTGAGGAAAAACTCGTTATAAATGACAAACAATTTTCGACCTTCATAAATGACATTACTAACTTGCCAGTTTGTGACAAGGGATCGCTGAAAAGTATTATCACTTCCACAGAAGATCTTCACAGTTATTTTGATTTGGTTAAACCTCAACTTCTTAAACCGTTACCAGACAGAGAATCGAGTCAATTCATTTGCCGAAGCTCAAAACTCGGGCAAAAACCTGATTTGAATGATGAAGATGTCCAGGCACTTAGCAAGATTTCTGAATATTGCAGACGACTTCCATATCTCCTAGAAGGCGCTGAGCAGATCATGAGAAATGGTTTTATCTCTCCATTACAACTACTGCAACAAATTGAAGCACAAATCGAGAAAGGAGTTCCAGAGAATTTTGCTCTAACTGCTACACAATTTGATTCGATCTCTAATGAACGCCTTAAAGAGCTTGCAGTGAAGATATGTGTATTCCAAAGGCCATTTTCAGCGTCTGCAGTAACCAAAGTTGCAGAAATCAGTCCAGACTTTGCTGCGATTGATCTTGAATATTTAGTCAAGCACAGAGTTGTCACAAAGACAACATCTGACAAAAAAGCAAGATATGACGTCCATTCTTTATTCAAAGACTTTGTTGCTTCTTACCTAAGAAAAAATATTTCAATTTATGATGAAGTTTACCAGAGAGCAGAGAAAATGTTTGGAATGCATTTTGTAGACAAATTGGTGGAACTAGCTAATCATCTAGAGAAAGATTTCACAAAAGTTTACAAGAAGATGGACAAAAACAGGTTAAACTTTGAAATGGCTCTTCAATTGTCAACTAAAAATAAGGAAATCCTGGAGCAGCTACTCCACATCAAGTACCACGAGAACATTTGCCGTGTTGCAATGCTGCTGGAATCGTTGAAGAGCATCAGTGAAAGGCGGAGATTGTTTAAAACATGGGCAGACATTTTGGAAAATGAAGGTACAATACTTATAATTTATGACTACGACTGTGACTAAAGGACTATAACTGTGATTACGACTGACTGTGATAGTGACAGTGTAATCGTGACCATGACTCTAATTGGACTATATATGTCTGTGACTGTGATTGTGTTTAAGATTATGATTACCTATACTTTATGTAGGAAACCTGATGAATAGTGCTAATATGAGGTGTTGGGAATCGATTCAACTTGCTGACATTGAAGGAACAGCTTCATCGGAAAGAATACTTAAACAAGCTGAAGCATGCCTAAAGCAAGCATCGGACCATCCATCTCTGGATGTTGAGCAGTTTTCTGCCATTAAAGGCCTATTTCTTTATTGCGAAGGAAATCTATACTACAGGAAACACGTGAACCTTTCCAAACAAGAAAAGAATAAGCATGGACTAATTGAAAATGCTCTGAGGAAACTTGAGGGGTCGTTAGAATTCCACAAGCAGATTTATGGTGAAGATCATACAATGATTGTCAGGATACGTAACATGATTGGAAACTGTTACATGGAGAAGGAAGAACCAGACACAGCTGAAAAGTATTACTCGGAAGCATTAGAAATGATGAAAAGGCTCACGAATGGAACTGAAAACCACAGTGAAATACCAACATTTTATAACCAACTGTCACAAGTTTATAAGAAACTTGGTGATTTAGAAAGAAAGGAAGAAAAAAAAAAATTTCATCATAAAAGTAACGCCATTTACGAGAAGGCAGTTGAGTCATTGAACTGTGCACTTCAACTAAATGAACAACTTAACTTGAGCGACACTTTAAGCACCGCGACTTTCAACCGAAATTTAGCTAACGTCTCCATGGCTCTTAAAAGGTACGATGRAGCGTTAAAATACGCCGAGAAAGCCCACAAACTTAGAAATAGACTGCTTGGTAAACATCCCGAAACAGTCAGGATTCTGTACCTGATGGGGGTCATCAACGAATGGAGAAAAGATATACGTGCAGCACTACAATGTTATGAAGAAGCATTCAACATGGAGGAGCTGTTACCGTTAGAAAACCACACTAGTCCTGACATTGTTACTAAGCTTGTTAATGGACTTAAAAAAATGTGCGGAAAATGCAACGAGAAGAGAAAGCTCCAAGAGTATAGTACCAGAATATATCAACTGCAGGAGACAATTAAGGTATAGTCCTTTTAAGAATCAATTCATTTTAAGGTATTAGTTTTCAGCTATTTATCACACAAGTCCAGTGGATAAATAACATTGTACTCTTTGCAACGGCAAGGTCAAGTTTCCAATTCGATTGCTATTATCCAGTTTCTTCATCCCTCTTTATTTCTTTATCTCAGAAACAGCCAGCTAAAGAGCAGCCTCGGGAAGTAGACGAGAAAGAGCTTTTAGTGTAAGCATACAATTATAGTGCTTTATAATATAATGGGAATATCACACTAAGAATTGTTGATAAGTTTTTAATGCCCATTTATGAACAGAGACAAGCGAGGTGGATTGTACAAAGTTCCTAGCCATGGCTTTATCCTTCACATCCCTCAAGACGCCTTCAAAGACAAGACGCAGATAACATACAATCATCCTCCAGTTGATTCTCTTCCTTCTCCAGCTAAAGACATGGAGGTTGTTGTGAGCTTCATTGTAAAATTGGGACCGTCTAATGCCGTTCCTCTGAAACCCATCACTATCACGCTAATGCACTCTGGGATTGTAGGAGTACCTGAATATGAAAACATTGTAATGGCGTTTGATGCAAACACACAAACATGGGAAGAATTGCAAGGTAAAGTATTTTTGTTTGAGCTCTTCGATAGATTTTAGTTACCTTTCGATAAAGCTTGTATATTTGATGCTGTACCATGTGAGTAGTATAGCATAGTATAGTAGTATAGCGTTTAGCCTTACAGCGACACTGTCAATGGGATACATGCGCGAGTAAACATTAGGCTAGTGTTTTCAAGTTTAGGACTACAAGTTGGCGCGACGCATGACAAAAAAAGTACTCAGAACAGATCTAGAATATTCCAAAGTGTGTCAAAACATTAATTTACCTCGAAGGTAATACTTTCAAAGTCCGTTAGAGGCAAGATTGTTACTGCGCATGTCATCCATTGACAGTGTCCCTTTAAGGCTAGCCATATTCCATGATCGCTATACTACTTAAAATTCATTTTTGTTTTAAGAAATCAAAGACAAATCGCTGCTTCCCACTCCCATGGAAGACAGCCCAGCAAGTTTTATACAAGCACGGCTGACCAAACTGACTGCAGTGACAGTGGTTTCCAGACTCGTTACAGACTCATTCGACTTCATAGTGTAAGTATACAATTATAGTGCTTTGTAATATAATTAGAATATTTTACAGAGTTGTTGGTGTTTTTTGCCCATTTACGAACAGAGACAAGCAAGGTGGATTGTACAGTGTTCCTAGCCATGGCTTTATCCTTCACATCCCTCAAGACGCCTTCAAAGACAAGACGCAGATAACATACAATCATCTTCCAGATCATTTTTTTCCTTCTCCAGCTAAAGATATGGAGGCTGTCGTAAGCTTCATTGTAAAATTAGGACCGTCTAATGCCGTTCCTCTGAAACCCATCACTATCACGCTAATGCACTCTGGGATTGTAGGAATACCTGCATATGAAAACATTGTAATGGCGTTTGATGCAAACACACTTAAATGGAAAGAATTGCAAGGTAAGAGTAAGAAACCTTTTATTCAGTTTATTTGAGCTTTTCGGAGGATTTTAGTAAGTTACCTTTCAATAAAGGCTTGTATATTTGATAAAATACCATGTGAGTAGTATAGCAAGTACGGGGTTAGCCTTTACGTAAGGCATATTCCAAGCACAGTACCCAAAATCCTTTTTTTAATATAATCTGTTTCCTTTTTCTTCTAAGAAATCAAAGACAAATCGCTGTTCCCCGCGGAAGACAGTCCAGCAAGTTTTATCCAAGCACAGCTGACCAAACTGACTGCAGTAACAGTGGTTTCCAGACTCGTCACAGACTTATTCGAGGTCCCCGTCAGCGGGCAACTTGTCAGGTCGTCAGTATGTCAAGACGTCACAGTGGAGTTTCTTGAAGGAGCTGTTCATAAACCCATGAAGGGAAGTTTGAAGGTTTGGAAACATAATTAAGTGTCTTATAATTTTTTTTCTTTTTTCCAATTTCTTTTCTTTCTGAGTATGTTACTTGGAGCGAAAACACCCATAATCTTAATGAAATGCAACTGTTTTAAGGTACTTCCTCCGCCCAATGTTCTACCGAAGCACATGGCTAATGTTTACCTTTCACCAATGGTAATTGTCGATGGGTTTGACGATGTCACCTTATCTAAATCCGCATTTTTAACTTTGCCTCACCATTGTCCATCTCAACGACCAGCGAGTCAAATACACGTGATGTGCTTCAAGGAGAACCAATGGATGGAAATCACGAAAGGCGTCGAGTGCTCAGAAATAAGCGAGACAAGGATGGGAATACGTATGAATCACTTTAGTGGGTAAGTCATGAAAATTATTATAGTAGCATGTTCACAATTAACAAAGTTGGGAATCTGCAGTCTGACTTAGCTGTGCATATTGTCTGTCTTTAAGACTGGTGCTGTGGATTGGACAAATGATACCTATACCTAATTTTCACGGTTTGTACGAATGGTGGAGTGCGCATCCTGAAAACGCTCGTTTAGGAGTATACATATCGAAGAATGTGCATATAGATCCCAATGATTTCAATCTGACACTTTTTTGTAGGCCAAGTCACATTGAGATAAGTTCAGAAATGAGTAAGTACCATTTCAAGTTGTACTCAATAAATTATTGATCGTTATTCATTACAATTGACATTTGCTTAACTCTTTCTTGGCCGCTTTAAGAACTATCAGTTCTACAGTATCGATTTTTCTAAAATTGCAAGTGTCCGAGATCGCATTTTCAGTTTTAGAGTCACAATCATCTTTTGCAAATCGAAAGTCCAGCTTTTTCTGAAATTGGCCAACCCACGTCTTTAGCATTGTTTTTACCTTTCTCTAACGTCGGCAATTCAAAGCTACCTTCGTATTGACGACCTTGTCTGTGAAAAATCGCTTCTCGCTTCTGATTTTTTTTCCAGAAAAGTGTCTCTGCCGCCTAGTCGAGCTTTATAATGCAGTCCTAGGGGCTTCTGTCGCAGCAAATGACTCGAAAAAAAAAATACTTATTAAAAACTTTTTTTTGGTGAATTTGAGAGCGAGTACTGGCTTATTTAGCGAGCCGTCTCAAATTCGCCGGGCGTCGCTGAAGTAAACAAACTCAGAAGAATATAGTTTTATTGACAACTCCTAATATGGGTACATTTAACATTTTGAAATATCACCAAAAACAACTTAAAATCAAAAATAAATCGCGGACAAGAAAGAGTTAAGAGTAATATCTGACGTAATGTTACGTGATACCACAAATATTAATGAACCATTTCAAATCTTTTGTGGTTTCCCAGGGGAATTATATGTGAAATTGGGAGGGAAAACATGTACAATGAAAATAAATGAAGAAGCATCTATTGGAGTTGAAGGTGATTACATACTTCAAGAAGACGTCATTCTCAAGTAAGTGTTTATATTTCATATATCCACTTTTATTAATAAATTGAACAACACGACCAAACGTAAAGTACTGAAGCTTACTCTTAGATTGTCATAACCATTCATTTATTGTTTACTTCGTTAAAGTCTCCCTTTTTCGTATTTTCAATTGCTGCTGTTCTTTAAGATTGAAACCTAACTAGTGAATTGCATTGGGTCAACATTGAACTTGGGAAGGGGTTTGAATAGAGAGAGGACACGAATAGAGGGAATTTGCGTATTCTACTGAGTATTGTGATGTCTTTTGGCCGGGAGTTGCAGTTACATAATTGACATTTCCATTGAATAAACATTTTCGCTTTTCAGGTTTGTAAAGGCAAACGACTGTGAAAGACAACTGAATCTCATAAGGAATACTGATGCAGAGGGATCAAAAATAAAAATAAAAATAAAGTTGTTTTCAATAACATATGACAGACCTCTTGAAGAACTTACTGTAAATGTACCCGTAGATCAGTTTACAAATAGGGTGAGAGAACTTCAGCTTGGAGTAATGAAGCACTTTCAACAAAGCATATAAAGCATGCCGTTTGCAAATTTCTGAATCAAATTTTGACAAATGATATCATTTGAATTATATGCTAATGCAATATATTAATCATTTAGGATAATGCTGACTCGCAGGCATCTAATCGTGAGAATAAAGTCATACAAGGTAGGTGCTACATGCATCGATGTTTGATATGTGCCGATTTCTATGTTTGTTATGTGCCGACTTAACGCTCATAGAGCGCATAGTTAAATTTTACTGAAATTGGTATGCAGATCCAACTTCCGATGTGTACAGGATGAAAAGTGACCCAAGAGGATTGATGGTCATCATTAACATGCAGAAATTTGCTGTTGATCGTACACTTGAGAACCGAGAGGAGCTCATGAAAGAATTAACCGACCGCAAAGGTTCTGAGAGGGATGTTGATAAACTAACTGATCTTTTCAGTGGAAAGCTAAAGTTCAAAGTTTGCACCATCATAGACAAACCAAGAAAGGAACTTTTGGGAGATCTGCGAAAAACTGTTGAAAACCCTGACTACAAAGATTACGACTGTCTTGCAGTGTGCATCATGAGTCATGGAAAAGACGACAAATTCTACGCACACGATGGAAACACAATCAAAGTCTCAGCTATTTACAACATGTTCTCCAACTCGAAATTTGAGGTTTTTCGCAACAAACCAAAACTATTCTTCATACAAGCATGCCGTGGACGAAGGGGCAGTGGGTTTGTCGCAGCAGATGGGCCATCAGAAGAATCTTCAGCACAGCATCCACCTACAGAGAGCAAAGATCTTGATATGGCAGACATGCTCATCGCTTACTCTAGTTTTGAAGATTACATTTCATACCGACACACGGAAGAAGGAAGCTATTTCATCCAAAGCTTGGTTTCAATTTTAAGACAATATGCAGATTCAGAACATGTAGAGGAGATATTGACAAGAGTAAAAAATGAAGTTCACAGGCTTATACAAGAGACATCGCAAGGCCAAACACAAGTCCCAGCTCCTGTATCAACACTCCGCAAAAAATTGTATTTCAGGAATACTTAGATGTGAAGATGGTGAATCGCAGCCAAATTCAGTCTCAGCAATTTGTAACATGTTCTCCAACTCGAAACCGCTATTTTTCGTACAAGCTTGTCGTGGCGAAAGGGGAGGTGGGCTCTTGGACGTAGCCGATCGTTCAATCATATATTCATTATAATTTAAGGAATAAGATTCTGTATAAATATAAACGACTTCTTAAATAGAATAAATTGAAGAAAAAGGCACACAACTTGTAACTTGTTTTTTTTCTACTTTAACGGACGTTTCGGGAATTCACCCTTCTTCAGCACACGATTTCTTATATATAAAAATTATTTCTTTATATGCGTTTTGTAATTACACATCGTGAAAACACACAAAAGAAACTTTTCTAGTGTTTATACATACTGGTTCTTGTAAGTGCTGGCAATTTCATTTTTATATTAGATAAATGAAACGTAAATGAATAAGTTGGAGTCTCCCTGAGAAATCTTTATTATTCCAAACTTGCAAATTCAGCTTTTGCGCCACTGCAGGCTCATGTGCCATAACAAGAGAAAAGATTATCGAACAAAAATGAGTCCAGGAATCTTTCGTGTATTTCTTGTCCCTAGAAGATGCTCTTGTCAGGCGTGAGTGACTAATTTGATTTTTTCTAATTGATTTTTGCAGATATTTAACAGAATTTCTGTCTGAACTCGGCCTTCCCATCGGTTGACTGGGATTTTTATTATTCTATTGCAGCTGAACGGTATCTTTGTCTTCCCAAGCCATAACTTTTTGCCTCCTTTTTGAAGCTATAGAAGATTGTTTTTCATGTGAATTATCAAAATTATCTGCGATTTCTTTACCATTTACATCTTTCTTTCTCAAATCTAAATAGCTGTCAACTGCGTTATGAGATGATGGCGATCGTTCAGTATTAACAAACTGAAAACTAACATTACTCGTACGGAGACTTTGGTAATTAAGCTCCCCTAATGTAATGTCACTGGCAACGCTCACTCGATTCAAATTAAATAACTGTCGGCCAAAAAATGGGCTTCGTCCCAATGAGGGAGAACTCTTCAAAACTTTGTCTTTTTCAGTTTCTCCCTTCCGCACACCTTTACAACTAGTAAGTAGCATGCTATTCTGGACAGACAGACGGAAAATGGCCATGAAACCCTGTCGATAATTTGTACTCTGAAAAGCGTAGAGAATTGGGTTTAAAAAAGACGAGCATGTCACTAGGAACTCGACTACTTTAAGACATATAATGTAGGTGTCTTGATGCTTGATGACATCAGTCTTATTCGAAAGAGCGATAAATGAGATGAATGTACCATATGGGAGATAGCAAGTATAAAACGCCAAAGTCACAGAGATTAACAGCTTCGCGAGTTTCTTTTTCGACTTGGTGTCCTCTTCCCCTTGAGCCTGGCCTATTATGGTCTTTTGAAAGAAGATTCCTCGGATAATTTGAAGGTAACAAAATCCCAATACCATAAATGGAAGAACACCGAGGAAAGAAACAGTGCAGAGAACATGGACTCTTAGCTCATTCGCTGCTTCCAAACTAAATGGACATATACAACGATTATATCGCACATCATAGTGAACTGCTATAAAATCGGGAATCGTAATCAGAAAAGCTACAGCCCATATGACTGTAATAACATACTTCACGCTCTCTGCTTGGATTCGGAGTCTTTTCATTGGTTTTACGAGCGCGTGGTATCTTTCTACCGCAACTGTGGAAAGCGTGAACACTGAAGCACCAATTGCAACACTTATGACAGCATTACCAGTGAAAAACTTACAAATATAGTCACCCAGAACTCCTCTAGGGTGGATGGGGTAAAAGGCAAAACTATAGGTTCGTGGGTTCCATAGAAGTGTTATTATGTCAGCCACCGCTAGGTTAACGAGGAGAAAATTAGTTGTTGTATGCATTGATGGAGTTCGTTTCACAACTGCTACAACAAGAATATTTCCAATTAGTCCTAGCAGTACAATAACTCCGTAAAGAACGCCAAAAATAATATCAAAGTCTTGAATCTCAAAACGCTTGAAGTCTGCCCTAGTTTCGGTGATTCCGGTAGAGTTGACTCCTGACATTGATTTGGTTTCCATGACGCTTCGCTGATGTTTGATGGTAAAATGATCAGTTGCAACGATCCAATTTTTAAATATGATTACTTAAAATGTCGATGGTATATCTTCTTTAATAACGCTTCAGACCTTTCAGTGAAGACTTTCCAATATTCTCTGAGATAATATCAACTAAGTAACAGTTTACTTCAAGATTCCCAGGCAGAGAATCGATCTGGAATACCACCCAATGGTTTAAAGAGTACAAGACATTACTTTCTTTGAGAGCTGCAGTAAGATGTCTTCAAGTGCATGAAGTTGAAAAAATAGAATATTCCATCTATAAAAGGCAAGGAAAAGTCTTCTTGAAGTTTGTTGACCACCAATCTACCAATAAAGCATTGACGAAATGTCCTTATATGCCAAAGTTTAAGGGAGAATTGTGTATGTTCATGTTAGCCATCAAAGCTGTATTTGAAAATGTTTATTTGCAAAGCTGGTAGTTCGGTTTCTGTAAGAAATCATTAGCATAATTTCAATTATTTGAATTTTACAAGAAACATGCGATAATATCTCCGATTTGAAATGGAACTACAAACATAAACTATGTTTCTTAGAATAGGAAATTAAACAAAAATGTGGTTTAATATGCGATTTAAACATTGAAAAATTTAGTGATGAGTCTCAAATACATGGATGGAAAATTTTGTCTTAATGTTGCGAAATATTCAAATATGAGTACTATTTTTCAAGAACAAATCTCGCCAAGAGTGCGAGTACGTAGTCGCATGACATTTGACTGTCATTTGACTGTTTTTCAATTGTTATGATTACACATAGAGAGAAAACTAAATTACGAAATACAAATAATTAGCAAAAGCGCAATATCCTTAAACATTCCTTACCAAGTGCAGACACTCAAAATGTGAACTAAAAATACCAATATGATAAATTCATTGAAGTGAATTCTGCCAGAGGGATAGCTACATTATCCGACAGCAGTAATGTCAGAACTATGTAATGAAAAACCTTATAACATAAAACACGACTTTTTCTCATTAATTATCACCTTTCACGCTATAGAAAATCGTTGTTTGAACAGCGGCGGGTTTGTTTGCACCTAAAAGGAGTTGTCATGGGAACTATGATCTCAGCCAATGACAATAGACTACAATATCTTGTTAGCCAAGGAAGTTAATGAGAAAGTATTGAGAAAAGATTACCGTAAAACTGTTATCGGTTATGACACGGATTAAGGTGTAGAACTCATTCATGAGATTAGAGATGGTTATTACGTTTACAGCATATTAAAGAAAAGTTGTAAAAAGTGAAAATGAGAATGTAAATCTAAGGCCGAAGTGATTAATGGGATACTTGCAAATGTGTCTTCTATTATTACTTCACGCGCTATAATCTGAAAGTACTTGCGTCCATATTTGTATCAGAAGGAGTCCCGTGTGACTACACTTTATTCCTCCTTATTTTGCTCGCTTTTCTTTGCATTGTTGGTGAATTAAGCAATAAACAACACATTTTCGTGCGTTCCTGGTGAAATAAGCCACGCGGAATGTTGGGAGAATACGAAAAAGGCGTAAAAAATATCGAGCCTGAGGCAAGAGATTTTCAGTCTTTTGAGTGTTTTCCTAATATCCCAAGTGGTTTATTTTAACAGGAACGCACGGAAATATGTTGTTTATTGCTTTTTTATTATAGCATTTTCGCATCCGTGCTTTTACCGGTGAAATAAACAATAACATTTGAMCAATCAGAGAGCGCGTGCTATGATAGCTATAATATAATCACACATTATTACAATTTTCTATCATACTTTGTTTCACGGACTGAGGAAACCCATTCCACACAACTCAAAAGTGGAATTCAAGTGTAGGAAGTTAAAGGATACATGACAGATCCCATGATGACAAGATACGTGAGTAACGAGAAGGGAAGTAAAAATAATGATCTTTGGATGACATTAAGTGCTCTTAGTGAGATTGACAAACTTCTTCACATGACACAGAATCGAGTAAAAAACAGGAAACGATAAAAAACGCGATAAACGGACATCTGAATATGATAAGGTTTTCAATATGCACTTATGAAATTAAAAAGTAACTAGAAATATTCCTAAATGCATAAGAAATTGCTTTGTAGTTGTCTTAAGGGTTTAATTACAGTAACACTCACGAGGAACTCGACATACAAAATGTGGTCCCTATTCGTAGCTGTTTTTTAACTATTTTTTCCCCTTGAGTTCGCAGTATAATACACAACTGCCATAAATACTCAGGCCATCATCATCAGTAGTGCAATGTTTTCATATCAGACAGGATGTTTTTGAACAAGTATAAAAAAAAACAATTATGCATAAGAAACAAACCCTTAGAAGAGGCTCTTGGAAATACTAGGATATCAATTATTATTACAATATCATTTATGATTTTCTTTCAATGTTTTTTTTTTCGGATTTTTTGTTTTGTTTTGCTGATCTCTCACAAACAATATCGAAACTAGATGGGTTATAGTAAAGTTGTCAATTTGGCAGGAACAACATTGGTGATTTACAGAGAAAGGAATTCTTTACAGAGACAAAAGACAGAGTGTTAAACTTGAAGGATATACTTTTCAACTTGAAAGTTATACTTAAATCGATCTTCTTCTCCAACAAATCCCAGATGATGTATTTTCTTACAAAAGAAAATATTATATTTCATCTTGAAAATTTTGTTGTTAAACGAATTTTCTAGCAGATTTGGATAGTGAATTCGACATGGTAAATGTAAACAAGAGGGAATCTGTAATGTAAAAAAGAACAGTAGAAACAACTGCTAACGGAGTAGTATCTCTGCTCCGATTTGGACCAATATATCTCCGTAGCATTTCAGCATTTATAATCAGGCAGCGTAATTGATGATCTGAAGATGAACTTTCTAAATATCCTACATTTTCCTATCAAAAGCGCGACTCGAACCCTCGACCTATTAACTCCGAAAAGGATTTACAAAGTCAAACAAGTGAACAGATACACAACAGGTGAGTCGGACAAGATAACTAAAACCATGTCAGTTTGTTTACCATTGAAGACCAAAGCACTTGGTATGCATTCAAATTAAAATCTCGTCAATCCCAATTCATTGTTAAATATTTTTTAACGAGATTTAATTATTACACCCGAGTTTCAAAGCCTAAAATTAATTGTATGCGAAGTATAAAAAATAAAATAAGTAATATGATAAATTCGTCGACATCAGGAAATGAACTATGTTACTTACGTAGATTGTCATTGATACCATTGACAAAAAGATAATATTACCCTTCGTATTATTTTTTCTTTCTATTACGCTTTTTTTTATCTTTCCAGCAGTGTGTCTTCACTATTCTAATAGCCAAACTGCCTTATTAAATCTAGTTTATTTATTTACTTTGATAACTTCTTCAAACAGTCATTTCATTCACACATTCTCCAATATATTTTAATATTTTACACATCGTAATTAAATCAAAGGTTGCTAAACGTCTTATTCTTTTCCATCATTTCACCCTTTTTCATCGTTTGTTTCCGAAATGACACAATTTCTGCGCCAGTTTCGCACCCAATTCGTCTAGTAGAAACTAGAGCTATTGACGTGCGAAGTCTTATCTTTTTCCGGGTACAGCAACAAGAACAAGCTTCCTTGAATCCATTTCTGTAGTTGGAGCTTTGAAAAGCATACAAAATAGGATTTAGAGTACAACTACAGACCAATAAAAACTCAAATAGTTTGAGCAATAAGTAGTGCGTGTCATAGTATTGAATTATGATTTTCCGTTGTTGAATGAGCAAGTAGACGAAGTAAGCCCCATAGGGAATATAACATATGTAAAATGCGATGGTCACGGAAAGTAGCAAACGAGCCAGCCTCTTCTTATTCTCCAGGTCTTGGAAATTCATCGTTTGGGAGCATATTTCCTTGGTGAAGAAGATTCCTCGGAGGATTTGCGTATAGCAGAAGGCGAGGACCAAAAACGGCACAATTCCAATGAAAAACACTGTACACGCGACATGGACTGTAGAATCCTTCACGACCTCAAGGCTAAAAGGACATACGCACTTAACAAAACGGTCACTGTACTTATTTTCAATAAAGTCTGGTATATTCACAATCAAAGACATAATCCATATACCAGAAATAACATATTGAACGTTTTCTAATGAAACAACGAGGTGGCGATTTAGCGGGCGAAGAAGCGCTCTGTACCGTTCTAAAGCTAGCACAGTAAGGGTAACACTAGAGACTGTCATTGATATCCCAACAATAGCGTTACCGGTGAGAAACTTGCATAGAATATCACCTCCAAGTCCTTTGGGATGATCTAGAGTAATTGCCAAGAGGTATCCATTTCTAGGACATGTAACAAGTGTTAAAATATCGGCAACTGCCAGGTTAACAAGCAGTACATTGGTCGTTGTGTACATTGAACGTGATTTTCGCACCACAGTAATTACTAGCGCGTTTCCCGTAAGACCAAATACTTGTACGAGAAGATACAGCCCAGCAAACACAATATCTACACTTTGGATTGAATATTTCTGAAATTGTAGCCCCGAAGAGTTCCCTTCCATGATTATGGTTAACTTAGTGATGCGAAAACAACCTTTCCCTCAGTGAATTATACTGTAAATACGTCTTGTATGAATCCAATGTCTGGTATTCGATCTGCGCAACTTGAAACGGGCCTTGATATTACACACTCTGAAAATTCAAAATACTATTGAGGGTGTCAGGTGGTTAACAGATTCAAGTATTGAATGTGACAATTAGACTGACGTTAGAACAAGGACTGCCTTCGGCTCTCACGTCTAGGTTTGATCAGCTTTCACAGAAAACAGAATAAGAGCTATCACGAGGATATGAAAACCGCCTGTCTGTATAAGCACCAGGGCGGCAAACATACGTTTGTCGGTTTCCATAGCAACACAAATTAAGCAAAAAACCAATTTAAGTTTTGCCGACTGTAAAAAACAATACTTAAATTGACGTTTTCGATATTACTCCTTGACTTGTAAAAAATCAAGGATTAATTAACGTCAGGAAAGACAAAGTCCAATAGAAAAAGATTTTTAAAACTTAGGCTGAAATTCAGATGAAATAGATATTTTGTTCTAGATATGAAACTAGACTAAATGCCAGGCTCCTTTACCATCGAAACATAATGACATCGCTAATCGCTTCCACTTATGGATTACTTAAACAAATATCATATTCTTTGACATTTTATATTTTCCCATTTTTACGAGAGTAAAATCAAAATGAAAAAAATTAACCGGCGCTGAATTTGTTAGCCTGTAAAATATGTTAAAAATGACAGCGAAAAAATTATATCCTTCGTGTCTTGTGACGAACTTTAATTTTTTCACAGGTTGCTTGTTTCGATAATGATTATAATATTTATATCTTTTTATGCACAATTTACACACAAATAGAACTGAACTATTTGTATTTTTACAGAAAGGAATCTCTCATTGAACTAAGACAATGAAAACCGGCGTCAATGTTGAGCAAAAATAAAGAATAAATGGATAAACGAAAAAAAAGAAAAAAAAAGAAAAAAAAGTAAAAAAAAAAAAAAAAAAAATCAATGACCAGGGAAGAACAAGGATATCGGATAATTCAAAACAATGAACACATCGTAAATATACATTTTAGAAATATTCTAATTTCTTCCTTCCCACTGTCGCAAAAAGTGTCACAAAAAATTTAACAAGCTATGCCAAACATAGTTTCCAGTGTTTTCCAGCGCATATAAATTAACATTTTTAGATTTTGAGTATAGGTTCTTTCCTTTTCTTTTGAAAACTAAAATAAAAATTGCAAAAAACAATGAGTTTTCTAATGTTTACGGGAAATTTAGGAAAATCGACGCCCCACTGTCACATACTTTGAAATAATAAAGACGGCAGGAAAACAGCTATCGTGATGACAGAAATGATTGAATAAGTACGATGACTGATTGACTTGATTGGCTATAAGATTATTTCATTTCCGAGAGAGAGAGCCAACGGCCCAAGCCAAAAAAAATGGAAAGCAATTATATGAAATATTCTTAAACACTCAAAAATGAAAACAAAAACTTCGATATTATGCCAAAAAACGTGCTAACAAATAAGAGTAAAAGAGTACTCTGCCATTTTACGCTTTGTTAGGAAAAATACTAGATACAAATATGTAACTTTCTTTTCTACATGCCCAGTAATACAATTCATTTGAGCACTATGATTCGAGTTATGACCTAGTACCCTAATCTTATTTTGTATAGGAGAACTGTTAGACGACGTGCTCTTGGGATTTTTTTTGGGTGTGTCAAACCACACGTCTAGGTTTGAGCTGTATACTCTCTATGCCAATAATGCCGTGTCAAACTGCCAGTACAGATCAATTAAAGTTATTTTTTTGAATCAATATTTGTGCTTACGCGTTCCAAATTTCTTGTATATAGAAACAAATAAAAAGAACAAGTACCTTCATTTATCCACTAGTATCGCTAGCATTCGTGCAGCAATGTTGTGCGGTGAATATTTTCTCATTCTAAGTTTTATCTCTTCTATTACGGTAATTCGAGGTGGGTTGCAGTTATGGTACGAACGGGATTGCATCAAAGGCAAAGGTCTGAATGGAAGTATTTTGAAGACTTTTGAAGAATTTCCCAACCCAAATCCTGGTGCATGTTTTACTAAATGCGCCCATGATTGCAGATGTGAATCGTTTCAGTTCGTTAAAAACGCCSAGAACAACTCGTTATGCCAACTGAAYGGTTACCCTTTCGAAAATTCCACGGAAACCATGGTTGAAATGGAGGATTYTATTTTCTGTAWTATGACGAATGAGCGATCTTCTAAGGTAAGCGCTTTTTATATTGAAAGATAACGTTTAATTTGCAATGGATTGGAGCTATCAATGTAAAATCGTCATTGTTCACAATTGAAAATGTTGCTAATTTTAGCGGTGTCCAGTAGTAGATAAATGRAAAATCTTACTGCTATGGCTGCTAAAAATCTCTGGGAAGGGACAGGAAGCCCGACAAAAAATGGGTGGAAGGAGAATATGATAAAAACGTCTGTGTCTTGTGTCTTTCCAGGGATGTAGTCCTTGTGATGAGGGCTGCTGCAACAGCAAGGCTAATCCATGCACACTGGCAGGTGGTCRATGCATCGTCGGCTGTAACACTAGACCAAGATACAAATGCGTGTGTGATGACGGTGAAGTAGGAACAAAGTGTACACCAAGACCGAAGAGTTGTCGAGATGTGTTAAGATTCAATTCATCTGCAAAGTCTGGTCGTTACACCATTCATTTGGCATCGGACAGACATATTACGTAAGACATATAATATTTTATATTTTATATGATATTTTATTTATCATCGTATGAGGAAGTAGCTGGTTTTGATTAAAAATGTATTGGTTTGCTTAGCAAAACTCTTTCTACGTAGTGAAATAGTATAAGCAACAGGTTTGATGTCAATACTTTTCGAAATTAAATTTAAAGGTTTTAACGCAATTTGAATCGCAATCGTAAGAAATAGAAATTTTAGTACATATAGTGCTTGCGCTTATGATTGTGTGACCTTATGACCTAACTAAATGACTTCAAAAGTTCTGACAATATTAGCAGGAAAAGCGATTATGTTATATGTACGGCATTCTTTCCCCAGTCGTACAACAACAGCAACAGCAGCAAAAACAACAACAACAACAAAACAAGCAAAGTGCAATACAAACAATGACTGAATTATGACCTTTGTTCGTTACTAGGACACAGGTCTTCTGTGATATCTATTACGATGAAGCCTGGACATTAGTGGAATCGTTCAGGCGTATTGACCAATCAACGTTCGACGTGCCATTCTACAGAGATTACAAGCAGGAATCCCCTGGTGACATGTTGTCTGGGTTTAGACTGTCACTACAATGGATGAAGTCGATAAAATCCCATTCCACGAAATGGCGAGCTACATGTAATTACAATCCACAAGTCCAGCTCGACCGCATTGATCTTGTGGTGACCACGTGAGCATTGAATTTGGAAACTTGTGTATGACTGCCAAATAACATTCATTCCTGTTTTTCACAAGGTTTAAGAAGATCGATTTGTTGTCTACTGAACTTAAACCTGGTTGTCATGAAGTCAACTACATCAACATCAACAAGTACCAGTGTCACGACTGTACCACGTGGTTCTCACAAAGAGCCAATGAAAGCGCGCATTTCTCTCCCAAATATGGTGAAATGCACGGTTGCTTTTATCGGGGACCCCCCGATTTCCCTGTTGAGTCACGTGCCTTTGGAAGTTCCGCTACGTTTTACAGTTCGTTCAGGTGCACCGATGGAATGTTTTCGACYACAGCTTTCTGGTTTGGAGGGTAAAAGTATAGATAGAACGCTGTGTGGTCACGCGATGCAAAAGATTTCGTGACTGGCGACTGGTTTCGATGTCACTAGAAGTTCATAAAACACAACACAAATCTTAAAGCATTATGGTTTAAGATTGGTTTTTGATCGTAATATTATACTTTATCTATTGTATTCAGTGTAATTTTTTTTTCCCGGTATTGAAAGTTTCAGTTTTGACTTCAAGACCTTCAAGTCAGTACGTTTTAGCCACTTACTTTAAAAATAACTCAAAAATATCAATTTATACATTTAACCATTATTCATTCGTGTATTTATCACCATTTCCAACTTGGAAACAAATAAAATTGTAGAAAAGATCGTTTTCTAGGTTAAATTCATGCTTTTACATGCCCATGTAAAAATCCTTCATAAACATGTCGTCATTTCTATTTATAGCATCGATGTAATYGAATGATGTAATGTTGTCAACCGAGGTAGAAATAAAATTATGCTCGGTATAAAACACTGTTGTGAGCGATTTCTTGCAGTTTAATTCAACTCTGAWAACTACAACTACAATGCCAGCTACAAGGACAATATCTAAYCAGAGAAGTACTACTCAAAATYGTGCTACAAATGGGAGCACAACAAAGACAGACSAGAACTTTTTCACGAACTGAAAATAATATTTCAAGAAATGAATTAACTCGAAAAAAGAAGGAATTTACTTCAGTTTCCCAAGTCTACATCGGCGAAAACTTCGTCGTTCGAATGGGAAATGTTTTCCAMCTTCGAAAAGGCTTGATTTCTCCTCGAAAAGGAGATGTTTTTGTSACAGAGCTCGATCAGCTCGCCATGTTTGCTTCGATGAAACTGTCAGATGGATCAAGACGTATGKCTCTGACCCCAAACGCCGGTGGCAGCTCAATCAACAGTGAAGTTYTGAGCTTTGAAATGCTRCACAAATGCTTTAATGCTGCCCTAGATAAGACCGAGATGGAAATCGAGTATTTTCCTTACGGAGGAGCCTTGACTGACTACACTTGTCGCATCTTCGGTCTWACGATCGGCGTCTCAGTCACAAGAGCGATGAAATACCGAGGRAAATTCACGGTAGAAGATGCCAAAGAATTACTCTTTAAGAAGCTCACAGGTGTTTTAAACTCTACTAGAAATACCCTTGAAAAGTGGCATAAACAAGTGCTTCACATTTGGGCGCCTTCTTCTACTGAAGGAAAAGTTGTCGTGCGAGCTTGTCGCAGACTGCCCAGGTATATWCGTGGCAACACTGTTGTCTTGGTTACGGTTGTCAAGAACTCAAAAGAAATTTTTTAAGGTTATTCCAGTTTTACGCTGTTTTATAATTTTTTTTTATTTTTTTATTTCTCATAGATATTGTAAATCATGTATCTCAAAATGCACATAATTTTTTAAACAAAATTACTACAATATATAATTACTATTTCATTAGCTGTTTTAATATTGTAAATATTTTATTATTTTTTGTACAGCATATTTAGATTTTTTTTTTAATTGAGCATCAAAGCAAGAGAGKTTTTCCCACTCAAWGTGCTKATTTTACAGACWTRCCAAATGCAATTTGATGTGACTCMGAGTTTTATATCATAAAAATTCAATTTATAGCACTTGCAGTATGTAGACATGGTTAAGTAATAAGCACTGCTGTAGTGACGAGGAGTGCCAATAAAACATTCATAGAATATTAGGAATATTACATTAAAATTACTCAACCAAACAAATGAACTAAAATACTCCGTCACTGGCAATAAAAGATTAAAAACATTTATTCAAAATGGTTGTTACTAAGTATATATTACTATTTACTGACTTGTCTATTTGTCGGCTGTGATGTTACTCGAGTAAATAACTATAGAAGGGGTTGACATCCATCTTACAGGAATCACAAGGGWATTCCTTTGTCAAGAATGGCTCATACCTAAAGATAGAATGCAAAACTAATTAATAAATTTACTTTATCAAATTCATTAATAATTCACAATTAGGTAAACACATAAGGCCCCCCATGAACTCATATTTTATATATTATATCACATAGCATGCACTGTGCAACATTTAAACTATCCCTTATCACAAATGGGTAAGCAAGCCATCTGAGTCATACTTGAAGGCAGCTATGGAAGTAGGTCTTTTTCTAAACCGTTGAGCTGTACAAGAATGAAACACTAACAAATGCAAAATATCTATTTCATAAAGATTTTTCTTCATCACGGAATTGTTTTGYGGAGTGTAGGARCAACAGATCCCAAGGTAACTGTAGGTTGCATTAAATTCCCTACTTTCAKTTTGTGGATCCTTTATTTATTTTGCACCTACCAGAAATTAACAGCAACATTTCTTGGCTTGTYCTTRCTGGGAAATGATTGAACCTCATGCCACCAAAAGGACGGCATGTAGAGAACATCTCCTTCATCTATGGTGCAATTCATGGCCTTCACATTTCTAAACTTTGGAAACCTGGTAGATAAATAAAGGATATTAAATTGGGCAATAGGAGATGCAATAAATAATAATTATTACAATAATACCAAGTAATAATAATAATTAATTRTGATATCAATTGAACATGAGACGATAACACTCATATCTTCAAGCAACYAATAATGTTGACTGTTTATTATTATAAACTCAAATCTATATCATAAGGCAAGAAATAGGACAATTTTGTACAGAGCATCCATAGTAGTAATTTCTATTTTCACATTGTCAAAGAAATCACGCCTTAACTTTAGAGAATATCTGATATTTTATTCAAGTTCATGTAATAAAACTTTATTAATATTATGTAATAAAATGGAAATGTGACTGAGATATAATACTAATTCTTTTTGTCAGTATTATTACCTGTTGTAGTCTGGTTTTAGAATATTGACTGGTGACATGACCATTGAMGTGCTGTCCATTAGYTTCTTTCGTCTAAACTTCATACTCTTTGGTTCATAGCCCAGTACAGCCTCTTGAATGTGTGCCTCATAAAGGTTTGTATTGTCATGAGGTTCATATAGAATCAATTGCTTTTTACCACTCACCTAAAATATTGAATGGACTGATACAGCCTTTTGCAAAAATTATGAGAATTGTCTAAATATCTAAATATCATAATATCCATATCCATATATTGTCCGGAACAYGCGGGTTTGCTAGAATAATTCATTGTTGACATCGAGAAAATGTTCAGAACTACGGATAAGTCTGTCGCCAAAAGAAACTAAACTACAAAGACAAGGGACTAAGGGCAACGCGCGGGATTACCCATCATGCACTCGATATTATGATATTTAGATATTTCAACAATTCTCATAATTTTTGCAAAAGGCTGTATAAATAGATATATCTAGCGGCTAGCCTGAGTTCATCATATACACAGACTGTAGCTAGCAGCAAGCTATATAACTTTATCATTCTCAGACTCAACCAATAATTTTTTTATAATGCAACAATTATTAATACCTGACAAAGAAAATTATCAAATGGATCAAAATGTAGTTTCCCCAACGTGTTTCCATTGCTCAACCAAATGTTCAAATGCCGGCGCTTCAATATTCCAGATATAAACGGCATTTCTTTAATSTCGTGCTCTAGCTCTGGTAGATGTGTTGGAATCGATGAATACTCTAAATACACAGAYRCATTCTCGCCTGTCTCATTTGTCTCCAGGGTTTTATTCAGTAAATTCATAAATTCTGCAAACTTCATTTCCAGGAAGGCTGGTCGCACCACTACAAGGTCAGGAAACGGTAGATTTTCTTTTACTTCTTTTGGGAGTTTGAAATGTTTATAGTCCTCAAAATTGGACGCTTTTTCACAACCTTCGTATTCTGAGTTTGGTGCAAAGGCAACACGAACTTYATTTTGACCAAATTTGGTGATGAGAAATTCATTGGTCCATTTTGATAAGGCAGGCCAATTTTTCATTGCATCTGAAAGAAAATKACACAGTTTATGAAATCAAAACACACACAAAMAAATACATTTTACATCTTACCTGTTATTATAACTGGTTTTGAACGATAAAGATATTTATAAATAAACTCATCTTTGCTTGGCATGGTAATCCTCTCACAATCAGCTCCAATGTTCAGGGGTCCACCATTCCAATTTTCCTTCTCACTTTCTGTACTGACGCTATCGACGCTATATAAATTCTTTAAAATATACTCCCTCATTCGCCCAGCATGCGTTAAAGACCCCTGAATATCTCTAAATGTCTCGCAACGTTGGTTAAGAAATTGAAGAACTGAATATACATCCAAAGCACCTTTATACTGTTCGACTTTTAGCCTCTCTCTTAGCGGCTTCAGAAGACATTTTCGATCGAMAATTTTCTTTGGATAAAACAGCAAATTATTTACATGTTTTGAAGTTACCCCAATAGTRTTTGATAAAAYATCTTCTTCTTTGCTAAAGTATGCCTGTTCTGGTCTCAAAACTCCAATTTTTACGGCYGAGTCGTTGGAGAAAACTTTGGAAAGATTTKTCATTATCGGAATAGCATCCGAGATRTTTGAGGAAGTGCCMAGMAAAACACAGGATTTTTCTATCAATCTAGGAATTTCCTGAATTGTGTATTCTTCAAGTTGTTCTGTTCCATTGATAGTATTTGTAATTATTACGAATAAAATAAAATAAATAAGTGAAAACATTCTCAATAATTCACAATTTGTGAACTGAATGAGTACACGTGGAATTACCGCTGGTCATTAATGATTATTTTTACACGACACACAGGAAACCCAAAAACTGAGCACCGATCCAAAGATAGCCGAAGATAGCCTGATTTTCAGACGCCTGGGTTCGACGCGAAAACGCGTCTATCAGGGGATCTGGGATAAACCAAAACGGAGAGATACCCGAGAAATATACTTTCACTATTAGCTTGCATACCAAAATCACACAAAGAAAACTTCGAGAAAACAATGAAAGCTCGACGAAACAGTAAATATTAAGCAGAAAAATTTTAATAACTAAAAATAATGCATTGCACGAGACAACACATAGTCTTCAATATAATTACATAAAAATGACAACAGACCTTTATTTAACGACCACCTCCTCTAAGCAAAATAAAATAACAGAATATGTAATTATTGACAAAAGGTAAAAATTGATTGTCTGAGAAAATAAAAATAATAACAGTGTAAAAGTTGTAATTAAAAAAATATACAGGTATAATGTGGTCTACGTAATCTGCTTTATACATATATATTATCTCTCCTTGTCAAATTTTAGTATTTACAGCAACTTATGTCATTTYAGTGGAAAATAAAACGAAACAGAGAGGAAATATCGATTGTTGCGGTCCTCTGTTGTCAAATATCGCTTACTATTTCCTACTTCCGATATTGAAATTTATTTATTTGCTAATTRATTATTAAATTCTATAAGATAAGCATGACGTCATTATAATATAGTGTCATCATGACGTCATCATATGGGCATGACGGCATTTTGATATCACAATGTATGTCTTACACGGGAGATATTTTTGACTATTTTTGTCACTTCAGGGACCATATATACAAATGAGATGACGTCATAACACATATAAGCATGACGTCATCATGTGGTCATGACATTTCTATGATGTATCTTAAATCGTAAAACGTTTAGTTTTTTTTGGCAGTTCATTGTATGACATCATCATTTTACAGGTAATCGCTACGTCAACAGCGGGTTCATGTATGACGTCACCAGGTCACCATGACGTCACTATRTTACATGATAAAACTCTTTGGCTGTTCTTTCTTGAGTTGATCAAAGCAGTTTTTACAAACGCGGACTGGTTTGTARATGCGTAGACGCTGGATGGAAGACTCGTATTTACTGCATCTGTTAATATACAAGAGCGACGATAAATCAGTAATCTTCACTTTGCCCAGCAAACTTCACTCGACACTAAGTAATAAGGGTTGTAATAGAAACTTCCACGGAACAGCCGGAAACGTTATTCAGATTTTGAGTAAAAGAACAGATGAATAATTGAATGAATATTCCGATTTAATATTCAAATGAAGAGATATGAATATCAATATGAATAAATGGAATATTTAATGAAGTAAGAAAGAACTTACTGGATGAAATGATGGATGAATAAACTGAGAAATGGATGAGAAAATTTTACTTACTTAGCACAGAACAGCTTGCCGCAGTCTCTACAGTGATGACGTCGTTCAGAAAACGTGAATCGCACACCGCAYTGTGAACACGATTCTGCGCCCTCATCCTTAATCCAGTGGTCAGCGGGCATTCGTCCTAATATCGATATAAGTAGACGAAGATGAATATTGATTTATTCCTTAATTTAACTCTTTCACGACTTACCAGCAGCATCGGTAACCGACCAACTGTAAATTCGACCTCGACCATCTCCAACGAACAGTTTACGATGATCCCTGAACATTATCAAAAAAATCCACGATTTTACAAGAGAAGAGTGAACATCGTGTTTTCACTTAATATGTGAAACTATTCTTGTGATTTTACTTACTTGGATATCAAAAGAGCCGTTACAGCAGCAGGAGCAAYGTTGTCTTCTCTCGCAAATGACGTATGCATGGTCAGTTTGTGACGTAATGTCAAGCGGCGYCGCCAAACTAAAAGCAAAATAAACACACTCAATGCGCATGCGATTTCACACCGACTTGATATCTTTCTTTGATATTATCAAAACACAATGACTGCCTTAAACAATCTTGGTCAGAGGGCCCTTAAATCTCCTCCTAAGAGACTCTTCCCACTTAAAGGATTTTCACACTGCGCATGACATTGTTCAGTCATTTTGTAAAAAAATATGTTCTTTGTTGGGCTACGTGTCCCACATGGAGCCCGTACCTAAAAAGGAAAATATTTCAAATTTGAGATTTTTCATCGATTTGCTCTCGTTAATGTAAAATCTGAACCGAGCAGAATACCTGGTTTGGATTGCTGTACTCCTCTGGGCTCTTTYCTCTTGGCATTCTCAATAATAACGTACTCCTCATCAAGATTTGATGAGTATTGCTTGACTTGTGACAATTTTGGTGCCCTTGAAGGGAGGTCKGTGTCTTCTTGCCCCTCGGGGGTAGTCACAGGATCTGTTTTGTCATTATCATCCAAGGAGGGTTTAGTGTCGTTTTCTGAACTTTCTTTAATGGCAGAGTCAAGGTCTTCCTCTGGAATATCTGGAACTGGATCTGGAGTTGGATTTTCGGACTTATCGTGGGATTCCTTATCAGTAGATGAATCTATAGCGTCTTCTTTGACAGGAGAGAGCTCGCTGACAGATTTTCGATACTTCTTCGTACTCTCGGCTTCGTTATAAAACTCAATGCCCCACATCTGAAGAAAAGAATCAACAATTTGCTGAGCTCTTACAACTGCACATCACTTCAAAAAAGCTGTCATGTGAAAACAGAAGACAGAAAACAAAACGAAAAACAAAATCAACATACGACTAGCAATTACTTACCCTGACAACTCCATCTAACGACCCTGTGAGAATAACATTCTCTTCATCCCAGTCAGACAACTATAAATAAACAAATCAATCAATCATTGATCAATCAATCAATCAATCAATCAATAAATCGACCACAATCAATCAATCACAATCAATCAAATAAGCAATCAATCAAATAAGCAATCCATCAACCAATCAACAAACCAATCAATCAATCAATCAATCAATCAATCAATCACAATCAATCAAATAAGCAATCAATCAAATAATCAATCCATCAATCAATCAACAAACCAATCAATCAATCAATCAATCAATGATCAATCAACCACAGAATTCACTCACTACGCATGCTCTCTTACAATTTCCTATCTAATCCCATCCCACATGGCTTAGTGATTTATCTCTTACCTCGGACATTGCACAGCATTGTATATGATTGTTAGTTTGAAGCGACGTGTTGTCTTTAACAATCAATTGTCCGTTGACTGACCAAACATATAGATACGTACCAGCACAGGTCGTTATATCGCCCTACAACAACAATCATAAAATAACTCACTATTTCGCCCGCTCTGAATCAAGCAGGCCAGCAAGGCAGGTAAGCAACGTGCTGTAATCAGCCACATACCGTAAGTTCATTGATAGCTATGGCYGTAATCGGTGCTGCGTGGTCCGATAGCTGTCGTACATAGCTGAGTTTACTCAAATCCCATATAATACATGTTTGGTCCTGTGAATATTRCGTACAAATAAACCCCGTTAATACGATCACCGACCGGACAGTCTGTAGTACTGAGGTAATGAGGAATCAAAAAAGGAGGTTGGACTCACCTCTGATCCGCTGACGATCAGCTGGTATGACGTAGATACTGCTARACACGTGACGGACGATTGGTGACCATACAGAACCTACGATACAAATATGAAAAATTGTATATGTTTAATATACACACATATCTTTTTTATCAATATATTTTTAGAAAATTTTTTATTATCTTTGTATTATTTTTTAAGGCTAAAATTAGTAAATAAACCGATTGTAAAGATCATTTGTTTGTGTTTGATGGCTGTGGATTTGAATTCATGATCTAGTCGCGTGTCCCGCCTGCGTATGAGGTCACGCTTACTTACCTCGTGAAGGATTAACTGAGGCTTCTTGCCAGCACCCTTAACAATGTCCCATACACAGACAAGCTTGACAAACAAAAAGTTATATAAGTCATTATTAGGGATATTATTACTCTATTGATTAAATAGTTTCAAAGGTCTCGTATGCTTACAGAGCTTGTTCCTCCTGTGATGAGAGTTCGCGAGTCAGGACAAGCAGCACAAAGAACTTGACCAATGTGGAAATTTTCATACACACTCATACCCTGGARAATTGTTGAATGAAGGTATTAATCARTAAYAATGATAATAATAATTTATAGATAATTGTATAAAATAAATGAAAGAATAAACGGATTATTGAATAATTGAATAATTGGATGGATGCCTGAGTGAATGATACACATTGTCAAATTAATGCCAGAAATTGAGTGAATGAATGGGAATAAAGGAACGAATGAATAAATGCATGAAAAAATAACTTAAAACAGCTCTTTGGCGATAGCATCACTTCATCAAGACCAACCTTGTCAGTTTCGTAGTACCCAACGCGCATGCTCAAATCTCCGAAACCCCAAGCAATACAGCGATTGTAGTTGGGTGGTATCAACAGCTAAAAAAAACCACAACAATACCAGTCAATGATGGATAATTGATTATAGAATATAACACGTATGTAGTACCTTGTTGCGTTCTACAGCTGGTAGTAATCCTCGTTCTGATTGGTAGATGAGTCCAACTGGACCTTTGAGCTCTGCGAAGCAAAGAATAGTCACCAACAATGAAAAAAAAAACAAAAAACAAACAAACAAACAAACAAAACAAAAAAACAGAAAAAATAGAAACAAAAAAAGACAGAGATAAGATAAATGTCACCACCACCAAGAAGACTGTTAGACTGTTACATCGTCCTCCTCGACAAGTACAAGAACAAGAGCAACATGAACAAAAGCAAAAACAACAACAGCAACAATAATTAGGTAAAAGCCTCGACAACAAAACACAGTAATCTATTATCTTAGTACCTTTCACAGGTTGGACCGAGGGAACCAGGTTGGGCAGGTTATGAAAGAAGACTGCACTGGTAGCACCTTGTTGCAAGTCAGGTTCTACAGCACGGAATACTTTCTTTGGTGGATGAGGCTTTTTGAAAAGCTGAAAGAAATTTAATGGATTTGTTATCGATATGGAAYATGGTTCTCTTGTTATTGCTTACACAATTTGTCATTGTTATATTGGGCAGGATAAAAGATTTCTTTTAGTTCTCGGGGCCATCTTGAGAGGCAACAGAGCTTTTGCAACTAGAAGCTACAACAGCCAGATCAAACACTTACACTTACACCAGGGATAGGTTTAAAACTCGGCTACGCCTCATGCTTAATCTATTTTATCAAGTACAAACCTGTTTTGGTGTTTGTCCAAAGTTATTGATAAAGCCAATGGTAGCTGATTTCTTGACCTGGTCATCTATRCCGTGAATATCTACATTCCCTTCATAGAACAGATGATGGAAAACATTGAACGACTCAACAGCGCCTGGACCTTGCTGACGGTAACCAAAGATCAAATCAATCCATTCATGAAGGCGGGCACTTACGTAGTCACACTCTAASGCCTGGAAGAAAGGCATTTAAGGGCGTAAGGTTACGTATTAGGTGAATATTATAACGCAATAAAAGTGCGTTGCATAATGTGACGTAGCGTTACGTATTACGTAGCGTATTATAACGTAATAAAAGTACGTTACATAATGTGACGCAACACAGAATAACGCAACATATTATGTGACCTAACATAAAGCAACATAAGGAMGAGTGCAAACACGAAAACCATGACGTAAATATACCTTTCTGTGAAGTCGAATGAACTCTTTYGGATCACCTTTAGCCCACGGTGGCAGAAGWACATCGCCCAGCGGTTCTCCACTTTGTTTAGTACCTTCATTAYATAATGGTGTAAAAGGTTGAGCGGACTTTTCACTAGTTCTGAGCCCTACGATTGGATTCTTYATTTACTTACCGAGATCAAAGGTGTTGTGGTTTGTAAGAAACTCTGGCAAGTAGAAGAACTCGGGGATGAGTTCCTTGACGTCGTGGATGTTGGTCTCTGAAGCTGATAACCAACTGTCTTTGATTGAATGGAACAAACGATCAGGAAGATCGAAATGTCCTCCCTACAAATGATAATTAATGGAACAATTGATCAGAACGATCGAAATTCCATTAGCATGAAATGGAACAAACGATCAGGAAGATCGAARTGTCCTCCCTACAAACGACWWWGAATGGAACAAWYGATCAGKWAGATCGAAATGTAATCAATATGAAATGGAACGAATGATCATTTACCTGTAGTCGTAGGAAGTGTTGACTGAAGGGTTCCATTCTGATCAGATACGACGAGACGATCATAGCAGATGAGTAATGGGTGCCGTAGTGATATGGAGGTGTCTCACCTGTCAATCATAAAATACCAGTGTCAAATATCGCTTCAACACAGGACTCCCAACATCCTGACTCACCTGTAGGGTCCTCCCATTCTCTATATCTTTTCTTGATGTGTTCCAGTCTAGACAAGCCTTGGGCACCCATCGGTTTGGAAAAGTCTCGGAAAGTCTTAKGGTCTGTGAGGTCTAGCTCCTACAAGCACATAAAGCCAATATACAATACAATATACCATATATAACTCTAAGTATGATTGGATAATATAACATGCCCACTGATTGGTTTATAACATATTGACAGCTATTCATCAAAAGACTGGTGACTAGTTCCCATACCTCTGAGTCATAATCGGCTAGTATCCAAGGAAACACTGGGTACTGCATGAGATCATTGTAAGAACGTCCAGCTAGCGTGTTTAAGTGCATTAAGTATTGGAAATTCGTGATTTCACCACGCTACACAAAACAACAGAAAAAAAAGATTAGTTTTGTTCGTCTACTTTGCAACTGTTATTAGTCTAGGTTCCATGCCTTTACCACAGAGGTCAACTAGCTAATGGTTCCTAAATACTAAACTTTTGCCTTACCTCCCAGCGCTGAGTAACAGACCGTTCTCCCATTAGGCTATTAATGATTCCAACACTGAAATATAAGCGAAAGAAGCTATTAGTATAAGTGTATGTCACAGTTGAGCTTTTGTTAAAATTTTGCCATCTCTCAAGCAGGTTTTACCGTCTAACATAGCAAAAAATTCAGAGTTCTTTGCTTTGTTGTATGTATAACATTGACTGTATATCTAACAAATAAATAAGGCTCAGCCGTGGTTTATACTCTCATAAACCACACTTTTTTGGCCAATCAGAGCGCGCGTTAGAATTCATCTATATAATAAAATGTAGTATTTGCTACATATACTCCTCCTTCTACTAATCTAGTTTCATCTCTTTACTCCGACGAAGGTTAAACGTCCGAAACGTTGTTTCACTTAATTTTTACGGTGTTAAATTTATCTATTTACACAACTGTTACATTTAACATTGGTTTGTGACTTACCCAGTTTCGACATCAGTGTCTCTTTTCATGCCAGAAATGGACTCCTCGGCGCTCACCAGCTGAGTTGATGCAGTGGTCAATAATCTTTACAGGTGTACGGAAGGAAAGAGAGAAAAATAGGCGATTCAGTTGCATCTACTGCCGATAACAGMAACCTTTGCAGGATATTTCTTCATATTCCAGCAACATGAACCAATATTTTTTTCATATCATACTSAGCTTGAGACAACAATTCTTCATATCATGCTCACCCTCAACCAATAATCTTTTATATCCTCCTCAGCCTCAATCAGTTATCATTTATTATTAATTATTATTACTATCAACATCATAACTGTTCTGTTCATCAGCATCATAAATTAAACGTTGTCATCATCAGTAAACACAAAATAGCTTACTTCTCGTAGACCTTRTTTCGAACAGACTTTGGGAAAACAAGGAAATGATTTCTGCCATCACTTGAGAACACTTCTAGTGCAGTTTGCTGTGAAAACATAAAAAAAATATTTGTTCAAAAATGCAAGCTATAACTTTTCTTTTTTTTTCTTTTTTTTTTAATTTTTATTTTTTTTTAACTTGATTGAATCATCAAATAGGGAGGGAGTGGAGGAGGGGAAGGATTCCAGTCCTCTGGTATCATCTTAGCCTGAGTTTCAAATGTACACAAGCTATGGTCATCTCTGATAAATGGTGAATAGMCTCAGAAAATACCGCGTCCTCATAGCTCTGCAGCGCCTTGTGCCAGGGTATTYTATATTTACTCCAGTTGGTGGATAATTTGTTTAGCTGGTGCATTTATATTGCAGCAATACCTGTAGTAAATATCGTCTTTTATGGACCTCACGAATATCGTCATATGTCCATTTACTACACCTGCAAGAAARCAAAGAAGATCAGAAATAGAGTAGCAGATTCTTAGAACTTGAGAATTTTAATTAAGTTTATTAAGTTTATTATTTTTAGGCTTGACTAACACTGGTATATAGCACATTAGATTATAAATCATTCAGGCTTGAAAAAAAAATAAATAAATAAAAATAAAACAATACTTACATTCTTTCTTTAGCAAATGACTTGGTTATATCATGAGAACTACGAGGGATGATTGGATCATGTGTTCTGAAAGATAGCAATGCAAAGAATATCAAACTGCAATACAATAAAASAAAATGGAASGGAAAAATGGASAGAAAAGAGTCAAGGTGAAGGCAGGRAAGAWMGAGGACAAACRCACCCAGGAGGAAGCGAATCAATATCTTTGATTTCCTTCGTAGAAAGAAGCGTCACACCATCCACTACGTAAAAGAACTTCTGTCCAAAAAGGAAGAGCCCTTCAGCTGTATCGAGTCCTTGAACTCTTGCACATCGGTACATTGAACGTATCTAAAGAACAAAAATAATTTAAGTATTATTATATGACTCAATATCATCAAAAACATTGTGAATGATATAAAAATATGGTAAAAGCCAATCGAATTTACCCTTTCTCCTGCTTCAAGTAGTTTTACAATAGTTTGATTATCAACCTGTAGAAAAAGAGAGAGAAAAATATGAATGTTTTTGGAATATTTTGAAAATTACTCTCCAAAACGAGATTTGGGATCCCTGTGTCATAAACGTCACGTAAGCACTTTGTCACGCATTCGAGAATTCAAGATGTCCGCCATTGTTGTCGGCGACGAAGATCAACACGAAGTTCGCTTTCCTACTATAGTTGCCGAGAAAATAGCAAGCTTTCTAAATGGATATGACCTCATTTATCTCAGCTACACTTGTAAATACTGGTACGAAGTCGCTGAAACGAATGGCGTTTGGAAAAACTTAATCCGAAGAAGATTTGGCAGCGAATCGCTAAGTCAGCACGATTCATCGACAACCAACTTTAAACAACTATATTTCAAATTGAGTTCAAGTAAAAAAAGTGTTGCAAGAAGTCATTATATATTGCACTTAAATGGACGATATTTAGCCAGAGAATCCGAACAAGACAGCTTTAATGGCGAAGTACTTCATTTGATGGAAGTGTGTTGGCTTCAAATCAACGACACCTTTTCTAGTGTGCTTCCAGGCAAATACCAACTAATATATCGCATGAAACTTAACGGTGTTTATGTTAATGGTGACCCTATTGAGTTCAAAGCTAACGTACCAAGTGATTATGGTACTAGTGTTAGCTCAAAATGGAGCGAACGGCGCTTAATGGCGGAAGAACGAAAACAGGGTTCTGATAAGTGGTTTACAGCCAACATGGGAGAATTCACAGTTCATCATATGTGTGATGTTGGAGTGGAAATATGGGGAAGAGTTGACTACTGGTGTGGCGGAATAACATGGGATACTGTGCAGTTAAAACCAATACGAGAGAACCTGGGAACTAAAACTCCTACTCCCACAGTGAACGACGTGCAAGTAAAAGCGAAAGCGGAAGCTAGTAGCAAAAATAAAGTAAACAATTGCTCAATATCGTAAAGGACAAGATTGTAATATATAAATATGATTGAATTTGACTGGAATGAATCGATAAGTGAAATGCTTGCAGTAAAGGAATGTCAGCACTGGTTATTTCATCTAACAGTGTGTTGGGGCAGTATTGTGTATCAATAATTCGAAACCACGGTCCCTAAAACCCCGGGTAGCGGGGAAAAATTAATAGGGAGGGGACGGGTGGGTGGTGGTGGAATGAAGTAATCACGCATTCTTATTGGTATTCCGTTACATAAAGACAGACGTATTTTGGTGGGAAACTACTGTTTTTTTTCATTTATCTTTGTGTTACCACATTCGAGTAGTCGTGCGAACTAACTTCGACCACTACAGACAATCAAGAAGTCTACTTACCTCAGAACCCTCGTTTGTCTCTGTGACATAACTTGTTTCCTCGGACAACGATCGGGCAGGGGTGACCTTGAGCTTCTCGGACACTATAATACGAGATCAATTCTATTAATCGGCCACCTCTTAGCAAATGATGACCATATGACCATCACCAACTWAACGACCAACACGGAATGACCCAAATAACAACATTTTCCTTTGCTGTGAAGCTCCAGGGGCGTATACACACTGCATAAACGGCCATAATCCTTTAATTTTTTCGGCTTTGAAAGTGGGGCGAYRAGCAAATGCAGCATCCCCTGAAATCCCTTCCTRGTAAATGCAGCGTCGAATTTTTAGCTCTTACCTTCATTCTGTAGTAAAGCTTCTATTGGACCAATGCCTGGTAATGCTGGTCCACGCAGGAGATAGTAGCGTTTGCTATCAAAACTTATTGCTTTCTTATACCTTGTACGCTTCTGAAAATCAAGAATAAAGAGAATAAATAACAACYCAAGAAAAGCTATATGAGATCAGTTAGCACTGGGATAAGAATCATCCAGATATACTGGGATCGGATAACTAGTCTTATAGAAACTTAATTAATATACCTGACTCTGTTCTAGCTTGAAGTCAAATGGATAATGAACGTAAAACAGCTCGTTACGACACATCTTCTTGCGCATGCGATGAGGACCTACAGCGACAATAAACCAATATTGTACCATTATATTGCCATAATTAATGAAGTCAACGAAAACGACAAAGAAAGATAAGGAGAGAAGAAAAGAGAGAACAGAAAGAAGAAATGGAAGAGAGAGAATAAAGATGAGGAAAGGAAAAAAAAAAAACCAGAAAGACTAGCCTTCATGAAATGGAGGCACTCTAGGGAAGAGAGAAAGAAAGAGGAGTAGCCCCTTCCCCATCCCCTAGGGCTGCCACKCAGATTAAGGTGAYGAAAAAGAGGTAAAMAACACGACCATCAGAGCCAAAAATATTGCATAAATGTCACTCACCCTCTACTAAATCCAAAGTCCACTTGTCTAAACTTGATCCCCTGGGGGGTCCCCACAGKCCTCGTTCTCTTGTGAGGTCACGTTCCATTAGKGTCCAGTTCTCAGCAATTGATTTGGAAATAAGTTGGTAATTCTAWAAATTAAAGAGAATTCAATTAGGAACGTTTAGAAAAAMTGGATCCAGCCCACTCCTCCAATGGATGTCATCTGGGCTTCCTGTGTATTACCTGTTGATGGTTTTTATGCTGTAGTCGCACCATGTCCTTCACGACTTTTATGTGCTTCGGTGTCCATAGAAACGATTCTTTRGCCAGGCCTTTGACGTCACGATTGTCCTTCTTTGTTCTTCTTGATGTAAGACGAGCGACTGTACGACGCTTGGGCTTCTACATAAACATCACAGAATTCCACAGTTATTATAAGTATTGTCACCATTTTATTATTTGTTTATAATATACGTCAAAACCGCCATCTTGGTTGAATTTCAACAAAAGCATTTCTCATAAGTGTCTATTGTTCATTCATCCAACATGGCCGCCAGTCTTTTATCTTTTGAATCTCATGGGAACGATTGAGGAATTTTGCGCGCATTATGGAGATAACATTGAATGACTAAGAACTGTCCGTGTAATAAGGTATAAGTAATATAGAGGTGTTCTTGTAATTAACAATTTAGAACACGGATCCTTTGTCAAGACTGTAGTACTTTCTGACCTGCTGACCAAGGGCTTCAGCTTTATGTTTCTCTTCAGCAGATACGAAATTTACCCACACTCTCATTGCAGCATCGCCAATCAGCGGTCTACAGAGGAAATACCAGACAAACAAGTTAACTATGCTATTATATTCTATAGGCGCTTTGTTGACACGTTTTACCTTAGAGACTTGAGGTCCAAATTGAGGTTTGAACTGCCTCCAACCCTGCAATAAAATAAATTGAATGAACCTAAAGTTATTCTGTCTAAAATATTATCAACATTAGATATTATCAATAATCAATAAAACGATCAATCAAACAATCAATCATTAAATTAAATGATCATTCAATCAATCAATCAATCAACCAAATGATCGATCAGTCAATCAACTAAACAAACGATAAATCATTTAATTAATCAAACGATTAATCAATCAATCAATAAATTAATTAATTAATTAATCAAACGACAAATCAATCAATCAATCAATTAATCAATTAATCAATCAATTAATTAATTATTAACTTACATGTATTCAGGCATTCTTGGGCTGTACGAAGTGAAACTTGGTTTAGGAAGTTCAATCTTAAAAGTGTCATCAATTGCCTACAATAACACGACAAAAAAGACTGACGAAAACCATTCCTGATTCCAACAAATCAACTTATCAGTTGGCTCCATACCTCTCTCTTGTTCTGCAAAAAAATATCCCAGACCCTCTCAGCAGCGGCCTCTAACAATCTTCTACAACTAGACTCTTCCTCAGCAGCTTCGTTGAAGTATTCTTGGGCCTCAAAGGCGCTTTCCGCCCCGAATGCTGAAACAATGTCAATTATATTTATCATGTCTACGAAAAAGGCTGCTGAGAAAATTGTCCAAATATAAGTACAAAATCGTTATCTTGTTTGCCGAACATAACAAATGTACTCTAGTTACAGCTTCATATTTAACCATGAAGGATTTGATAAAGCAATTTGTACTTTTGAATGCAGCCAATGCAACCGTACCTTGTGAGATGGCCGCGCTGTCCATGTCCTTGACTGGAGTACTGGTAACTGGTTCGCTTGCCCTTCTGTTTTGTGTTCCCATGACAAGCAGCCAATGGCACATCCCAGCGATGAATTCGGGTTCGTTGTTCCCAGGCGCAAAAATGACTTTGTGGTTTGTAGTGAGGATGTGTAGGAACTCCAGAAGACTGGTTTGATCTGTGAGCAAAGTGAGATTCACCCTCGATTTTTTTAATAAAACTTGTGTATTGTACAGTTGCAGTCTCAAGTTCACACACACGAGCATCCGAAATTGTTTGCGATCGTTTCTTTTGAAGTAATCTCTTGTTTAAGCGACATGGCCCACCAGCATCTCTTTCGAACTTTTGCTTATGTTTTAAAATAAAAATACATCGTAATATATGCAAAAACTTACTCTTTATTATCCCTTTATAATATATGAATGGAGATATTGTATGATTCAACCTTTAAACCGATGGATGGAAACGGATTACAATCTTACAATGGATATTCAAAGTCACCTCATTTTGCATATATGAAAAATCTAAAACACAACCGCATTGAATGCTGGTGGACCATGTCCCTTTAAAAGATGCTTTCGTTTTTTTTTGGTTTGAAATCAAAGATGGTGAATTTTCGTAAGGGAGAAAACAACGCGCAAAGGCTCTTGGATGCTATTGGACCTTAAAGAGGTTTTAGTTGTCAAACTTACCAGTTAGTCTTGCTAGAGGTCTCGATAGTTGGTACAGTATTGTCCTGTTCAGTGAGTGGTATATACTGTCCAGAGARACAGACTGACCTGGAAACAGTACGTATGCTTTTAATATAAATGGTCTCTCAGCGACAAAGATATGCTTTTAATGAATCGTAATTACCCTTTACGGCTTCCATAATGCTCGTGATAAAGTTGAACACCACTTTGTAGCTCAGTTTGAAATTTCCTAAAACAATATGAAAATAAATAAAGGAGAAGTAACACTATTGGAAGAGTCATTTATTTGTTCAAATATTGATCACGTGCTGTGAAAACCTAGTAAGGTGAATTAGTATCACAATACACCGAGCGTCTATAGAAAACCATTCACCCGTGAAACGAAATGCAATAGTCAAGGTGAAATAAAAGTGTCATATACCGAAAGTACCTAGAGTGGTTTTCATTAACCCCTGAAACAAACTACATTAGTCAACCTATAGTAAAGTTTGAGAAAGACTGAAAATCGTGAAAAACAAAGGGTAATAAAGTGTGTTTCACGGGTTTACGAAAACCACTCCAGCTAACGCCACAAAAATCGTAAATCCCAACTATAGACCCCTTGCAGTTCATGGGAATGCAGCTCCAACTGGAGGACAAAACAATAGATTCTAGTTCCCAAGAGGATAAAAATCTTTTGTTTTGTCCTCGAGATGAAGCTGCTTTGACGTCACATGCAAGGGGTCTATACCTGCTCTACTAGGGAGAGAAGTTAAAAATATCTTGCTCACTCAAAAATTACAGCGACGCAAGATAAACCATTTCAAATGCACTCACCAATCCAAAGCTTGTCAACGACTTTCGAAGCAAAAGTAAAAGCATTCGAGACAATCTTGGCATGRTTACCGTGGCCTGCAGATGGATTAGCCAGCAGATTTCCCCCAAGAAAGTAGTCCATCTGAGCTGAAACTACTTCTGTTTGGAACTCGGCTTGTTGTGGCTGCATAGACGTCGGTGGGTAGGACTACAAACAAAGACAAATATAGTATGARCACCAAGGTTTAGGGCTTCAAGATTTCGCGAGTTTTATCATAGATCTGTCAAAAAAGGTTTGTCACATTTTTTCTTTTCTCATTGGAAACCCACTAATTCAAGAGACTTTTGAAACTTTTACGTCCCATGTCGTTTGAGAAATACATTGTAGTACATGTTTGTGAAAAAAACATTTTTCTCGCGAAACCGACCCCACAATGCATTTCAAATCAACTAGGTGACTATTAGTTTATTTAATATTAAGTTATATATTGGATACACCTCATTGAAAAACTTTGTCAGGCACAAAAATGTTATATCATCAATGGTAAGACCGAAGGGGAGTATGGGTAAGAAAGTAAGAATAGTAATCAGTTCATTGTTTGCTTTCCCACGATACACTTCGGTCTTAGCTTCGATGCTGACTTATCGATAACTCGATAATTTCAGAGTCTTTACCTCTAGGATAATATCTATAACACCAAGATTCTTGTTGGACGATGTACAAGTCAAACTATCCGTCACAATTAGCGTTAGAAATTCTAGTATGTACTTCTTGGCTGGATGCGTTATGAGGAGAGTTTTCTCTTTAGAAAAGACCAGATCAGTTGACGTCTCTCCCTCCCCCTCACTGTCAGACATAACCTAAAGAAAAGTAATAATGTTACAAAAGAGATAATTCCATAGTGCAAAATCCCGTGAAAAAGAGACCAAAGAGTACCAGTATGTAATAATCATCATCATAATCGTCATCATAATCGTCATCATCATCAATTATAAAATGCTCACCTCTTGAGATCTCAGAAAACGTCTTCGTTTTGGGAACAAGATGGCGACGAGGTTCTCTAAGAACTCTTGCTTGTTCTCAGTACAAACAGCGCCAAATTGAGCGACATTACGATATAAAAACACCAAGAACTGRATCAGAGTGACGGGATATTCACGCAGCCAYGATCCYTCTTCTGTATTYTCCCATTCCTCGTTCACCATAGTTCGTGCCATCGACAAAAGCACAATGGCTGCATCAGGRCAGTAGATGGAATGCGTAGTAGGGTCACGTGGACTAGGGGGCGTGGTCTTCACCCCAGTTGACGTTGATGACCAAAACACTGAATACAAGTTATGCCAGTCAAACTGTACGCCTGCGTAGACATCTGACACAGGGTGACCAAGCAGCAGTGCAATTACTAAGTGGTATATTTCCGGTACGTCGACGTGCCTTGGGAGAAGACTCGATAGCATRGTGAAACCCGGAACGTTGCACACTTCCCGACAGATTTCGTAGTTTTCCGAGCATTCAGAAACGGCCCCAACATTGAACCCTGAGAAACAAGACATGAAGTATAAAAATTTGAATCATTATATCACGAATGATTATATCGGTCTCTTACTACAAAATGAGAGGTTGAATAAACTTAACACTAAATTCAACCAAACTGCATTTGAAACTCCGCCCTCAAAACCGAACGAAATCCGAATATTCACCGACGAACTTCTACGTCCGTCTATATTGAATGTTCAGAGTTCGAATGGTTTTCAGAGTTGTGATATCTAGAAAAATGTCCATTGATCATCAAAAATTATATATTATTTTCTACCGCGACGAATTTCATTAAAACAGGGTTCATTGAAAACATACCAGCAACAACATATGGTGTCTTTATCAACATCATTTCCGTCCCYGTTAGCCATCCTCCATTRTTCAAGCCTTCTTTAAACCTTTCCAAAGCTGCCGGACTRCCTAGCATGGTTACTAGGATACGAGTTGCGCGCACAACCGTTGTCTTGTGGATGTGTGGATGGACAAAYAGTAACAGCCAATCAAAACCAAGAGTCTCTTGAAGGGCGTCTGAAAACCTTYAGCAAATAACAATAAAMCAATAAASAACGAMGTTCTTTTGAGAGCTTATGACAGTATTTCATAATGACGTCAGGGCATGTTTACATGGGGATATATATCGCTCATAACAATAGAAATGCATGGTACTAAGTCTCAGTTCTATTTCTTCTAAAGGAATTTATGGGTCTTTGATTTAATGCAAATTTATTGTTTCGATGTCATCTTTTTCTTCTCTTATGCCATTTCTAATGTTTTTTTTTTTCATCATTCTATTTCCCCCAATAATGCTTTACTGTTACGTCATATTGAAACACGGTAATTCCTTGTAAATACCTGTGATCCAAAGATCCACCGTCACCATATATAAGACACAATATCAGTTCCAGTAAAACATTTCTGAGTCTTATTCGTTTAGGAGTAACATTATCAGCAGCCATACTTCCATCAGTGTCGTCGAGTTTGCTGCCTACATGAGACTTGTCATTGTTCARGTTTAGTTCGTTCTCGTTCACGTGATAACTCGATACAGTAGAAGCAAGGAATTGTCCAAACCTGATAAGGTTTTTAACCTCGTTGGTGTTACTAAGCAACACAGACAGGACGCTGGCAATTGTGTGCGCGGTCGAATCTGATACTGTCTCGTCTTGGAGTGTAAATAATAGCTTCGGCACTAGTCCTAAGCGTTGCATTAGGTCCGCGTTGGCCTGGGACTCGTTACCAGGCCCAAGTAATTCTAAGAAATGTGCGTACAGTGATCGTTCCAAGTCTCCTGGGCCATCATGCCATACCTCAAGGTCACACAAAAGATCTCTAAATGCATATACATTGGGTATTATAGACGATTCGCGGTCGCTATCCACGGTTCCAACTAACGCGAACGTTAAGTGAAGAATGTGGGTATTCAGAAGATGTTTTTTCTTGCGCAACAAAAGTGCAAGAATCTGATATCCTCGTGTTCTATCCATATCACGTCGACAAGATGGATTACTTCTTAAAACACAACTCAAAGCTTTCACCGAAGCATACAACGCTTCCACACCAGTAGCCATAGCAACAAGTCCAAGTAAACACGACACGCTACCAATGCACTCTATAAGCTTTGTGACAGGATTCGGGCAAAACGTCCTCAAGCCTGAACAACCAATCAGAACAGAGCCTATGGTACGTGACGARCCAGGGAGGTGTGCGGCAGTGTTATGTATTAGTCGTACTGGTGTAGTGTTGTCATGGGTGCTGAGGCCAAGCTCTTTAGCAATAGCTCTTGTGTCTAATTTTCTGAAATGCTTTCTAATYTTGGCCATGGATAGTACTGACTGAGCATGCGCATGGATACCGAACATGACCTTATCTCCAGATACCAAGGGTTCTAAGCTCTCCGTCGAATGCAGCGATTCYCCTTCAAAACATGGCGACTGAAAACTCCCTACATAGTTTGGTCCCAATAGGAACATCTTTGTTGCGGTGCCCTGTTGTAAAGGTTCTTCAATCAAATGCGTGGGGCCTAGTTTCCATAGCAACCTAGAGCACCTTCTCTGTGCTGGTGGTGTTCCTATGTATGCTACAATGTAAGGTGCTATGACAGCCGTAGACGTGTCTGGGCTTACCAAACTTGCTTGAACGTATTTGAGCTGGAAGAGAAATACTTTGTTCATCACGTCGATGACGTTGCCAAAACAACAACCACAACCACAACCACCACAACCACAACCAACAACCACAACCACAACCACCACAACCACAACGACAACACCGACGACAACAACAATAACAACAACTGCAACATCGACAACAACTGCAACACGGACAACAACAACCACAACCACAAGACGGACAACACGCGGACAACAACAACAACAACAACAACAGCGGTTCGACAATAACAGCAATACAAAAAACAATCGTAACAACAAAAAACAACTGTAACAGCAACATTTTGTATTTTTGATAAAATTTACGAACTTTGAAAAATTCTACTGCACATCACAAAGCGCTCCACCCTCCGAAAAATAACGTCAAATCTATGCTCACCTTAGAAGTAGCTACATGCTGCCCATCAATGAACAATGTCGCTGTACTGTTACGAATCAAAGCCTTATTCAAGACGACCATCACGTGATGCCAACGYCCTTCCTCCAAMAGAAGATCGCTTARRAACCTSGCCTCTGTGTGTTCGCGTTGAGCCTGGTCACTACTTTCATCCGTATCATCCATGGCTGACTCTTCTGTTCGCACTACCAACATTTTATCCCTTGGRGAGATACTAAGCGACAAACAAGGTGACATCTGTACTTTCCCATCCCCACTGCGGAAGTGTCTTGCTACAGTCAACAGCCTCACAGGGTGGGGGTCGTCAGTTGGACTACTAAACCTATCGACACACACCCATGAYGTGAAGGTCAGGCCGGCTTGAGGTGGAAACAGACGTTCCCCGGTACCAATACCAGGCACTGCGCTGACTACTACAGAGCTACCAACTACTGACCCAACAGATGAAAACCCTGAAAGATATTTCATTTAATAGTCATTATCTATCAAATATATCGCCCTTTATTTGTCTATATTCACGTTGGCAAACATAAAAAAAATACTTAATTTTTTTTTTGTTAATTGTTGAGGTCAATGTTTCTCCTTTTTCTAACCAGGATTAGCTTGCCATGCAGAAAAAAATGCCGTACAAACCTACTACAGAACGGGAACTACAGACAATTCTTACATTAACACAGAATAGATTTAATCAATCAGTCCAGTTCGCTCTTGATCGCATTCGACAGAGAGCAAACTGGGACCGACTAACTAAACAGGGAGTCAACTGAAGCATTTAACCCTTACCTGGTAGAGCCTGTGGAGCAATCGCCGGMAGAAAAAGACAACCAAACCCATCTACACCCATATCAAACTCCACAAACGACGGGCAGTAGGAGACCCCATGCGCACGCGCATCACGTGGCGTCGTCATAGAAACAAGGCACTTTATACGAGTCAATGGGACGGGCTTGTCTTTYGGGATTTCAGKTTCGTCATCAGCAGCTTGGCTTTCACTTGAAGARTGTTCCTGTGAAGTTTCATCGCTTATGGTTTGCAGGTCTGGTTCTTGKGCRCAGTGTAAYCTTAGCTGTTGATCRATGTCYTCTACACTCATCTCGGCAGCTTTGTGGCTGCCTTCTCTCATATCAAGACTATTCTCTAGAGATGTGATACTACTTTGAGAGGATCTTCGCGATAGATCACTTCCAAGGTCTTTGCCTAATGAGTCTTTGAAGCTTTCCGATAATCCTGCACCTTGAATTGATCCAGATTCCAGACTTTCAGTGTCTTCAGACTGGCTGACATCTTTCGAGGCTTGTGATTGGTCATTAAGTGTCAAAGATTGTGATTGTCCACTTCCTTGAATTTCCAAKCCTTGTGATTGGCTATTCGTTTGAATTGTTAAGCTTTGTGATTGGCTGGCCATATCAATCTCTTCTTCGCTTTGTACTGGATTGATTTGTGTGGTATTCACTGAGGGGTTTTGCGCAATGTTTCCAGAYACATCCACTATAACAAGATCATCGCCCTGGTCAATCGTAGACACCTCTTGTTGGCTATCAACATCAGTATCAACGTCTACACCGTCGACGACTGTAGTTTTCCCCCCACTGCCTGAAGACTGTACAGGGATTGCACCTGCAAAGACTTTATCGCTAGATTCAAATGGGCTACCGTGGTGCAAGTGGTCCCTCTTTCGCGGTGGTCTCTTTGGAGGGGGGTCTTCATCAGGAGATGTCTGACCCCCACCAGGGGAGGACTCGGTGGARCTATTGTTCTCATCCTTCTTAGTTTCGTTGTCTTTTCCTTCTTCTCCCTCACCAATCAACAGCTCAAAATCACGATCGTCATCAGAATCCGATTCTTCACCGAAGCTTGAGTCGGGGCTCGGGTGAATCATGCTCATCATAGGATCACGATAGGACAAACTACGGGTTCGTTTTTCAAGGGATCCCATATCAGATCTAGAATCAGTCCTTCCACGTGATGATGTRTCTGATATTTTTCTTGTTATTGCATCAGAGAGTTTCCTTATAGTTTTCTGCTCTTCRGTTGGTTTTTCTTCAGTGTGGATGGTTTCAGATACTGTGGTTATGTTCGCTGCTGGACCATCGGGTTCGTCTTGTTGGTCTTCCTGTGTTGGGCGTGGTTCTTCATCGGGTGGAATTAGAGTACTGCAGAGAAGTGGATTACCAAGGCGAAGAAAATCCCTAAAATAGAGCGATATAAGTATACAAGAATTGCATTATAAGGTACACTCCGTTATTCTCTTTAGGTGCTGCAGATATAACATTGTAGCTATATAGGCACTTATTCACAGCAATTTCACACTAAAGGGCATTTAACAACCGTCATTCATTGCGGTCGTGTTGCACACCTCTCATATATGGAAAATGGTGTGACTTCAAATATCCATTTGAAATCCGTTTCCATCTTACAACATCTTCATTTATATAGAGTTAGTTTCTGCTCGCACAGTTTTGCGAGATTTTCAAAGCATATACAAGGAGATACCAGTCGTTGATTGTCTTTTTTTTTAATGTTTAGCAAACAACATTTCTATGACAATATTATTCAAAATGTAAGTCTTTCTGTCGTTATTACCTCAACACTGTTGGTGTGAGTGCCTGTGATGCCAGCCTTTCAAACATTCGTTGCAAAGGAGCATTCAAGGGATGATCCTCGTCAACAAATGCTGCTTCACATCGCTGTAATAGTTGCTGTGGTAAACCTGCCTGACACATTACTTGCTGGTTGTGTTCTGATCGTAAGAGACATTGGAGATGGCTTAACCAGTACATCTGTAACTCGAGGCAGTTCTGTGTAGAAAAAGATATCTGGTTAAGTATCGCATAGTATTCATAACATTGACTTCTAAAATAACCCTAAGAATATATTTCTGAGTTTTTTTTACAGGAAGTAAGTAACAACTTGCACTGCAAGAAAATTGTTGAGTATTTTTGTTGGTATTAAAAAGTATACGAGACCTTAATTCCCATCATGCATTATTCTTGAAACTTACATCCGTGTTTGGAACAGGTTTCCCGTCATCCTCAACGACCTCACAAATAGCTGGTAACAAATCCACAACAGCCGTGATGGCACCAGAATGGTATATCAACAGCACTTGCTGGCCATTCATAGCATACGTAGGTCCATAGTTCCCAGCTTTTAATCCAAACGAATCTGTCGCCATCTCAAAAAGATTCTTAAACATTTCATTGGCAGAGTAGAGTAGGGGTGAAGAACTAAGATCGGGTTCAACGGGGCCATCGTACATTACTGAGGATCTGACAGAATCGTTACTGGGGGTGGGACTTAGAGGTAAGTGTGCTGAGCTKGCTGAGAGCATTCTGTTTAGCTTCTTTAAGGCTGGTTTAGGTTCGCCAGTATAGGGGCCCATSACTTGGGTCTCCAGGGAGAAACATCCAAGGAGTCTGATTGTATCTGCAAGGCCTCTGAACCGAACCTAAAAACAAACAACAAACATTNGTTAGCAGGTTCATCTTGCATTGCTGCAGTCAGGACATGAAATACTGTCCTTAGAAGAGTGAGGACATCTTCTTGTTTCACTGACAAAAGAAGTTATTGATACTATCACCATTCATAATTTTAATTAAAATGCTGACAAAATTTCAGGTTAGGCAGTGCATAGCGCTGGTTCGAATCTTAGTACGCGTCCTTCAAAAATTTCTTTTCCCTTTAAGTTAAGTGTTTTTCTAAGCTCTTCTCCACATAATTGGGACATGAAAGCCTTCTGTGTGCACACCAGCGCTGTACATGCACAAGCATATATGGAAGTAGTACTAAAGACCCTTCTCCCAAACCACTCTGAGGGACTTTGGGAAGGAGAACACYTGGCTATGCAGGCTTGTCAAAATAATGAAGATATGTTGCTCAACGACTATTGGGATAATGTACTAGACACAAGTAGGCTTAGCCAGACCTTTGGCAAGCTTTAARCTAGACTTTCACCTACCTTCTTCCCAAATTGGTGAAGCAGGAGTAGCCAGACTACCCTCCATGTTCAAAGGTACCGACATGACGTAAACAAAGCCTCCTACTTCGCGAAATATTGCCCTTGTTTTCGGGTCAAGTTCAAAGACTTTTAGCAATGCATTCAAAACTTCTATCTTTATGTGTACTGCAGAGTTTTCTGTTGAATGCATTAGACCAAGAAGWGTCCCTGAAAATGAAAAAATCATCCAGTTACTTAATCACTCTTTGGAACATCTTTTTAAGATCATTTTTTTTTTTCATTATAATTATTTGGAGTTCTGTTAATGCACCCTATAACAAGTCTCTACGGTATATAATTCATTTTATTTATAAACTCACACATCCAACCTTCCGTTCATTTTTCCAATCAAAAATAAATAAATAAATAAATAAAATAAAATTCATTAAATAATCCATCCATTCAACAAATTTTCCGCCATCAATAACCATTCATTTGTTCATCCATTTATTTATTCTCATACTTAACCTTCAATTCACAATTCATTTGTTCATCTTTCCATCCATCCATTTGTTCATGCAACCATTTATTCTCATATTTTATCCTCCAATTTATCATTTGTTCATCCCTTTTTTTTCACATACCTTATCCTTTAATTCCCAGTTCATTTGTTCATCTGTCCATCCATCCATTTGTTCATCCATTCAYTTATTCTCATATRTTATCCTCCAATTTCCCATTCATTTTCCCACCCATCCATTTATTCATTTTATATATTCACCTACCCAGATCATCACTTCCTCCATTAAGAATCAGCTCATSAATGATCTTCAGTGCATCTAAGCGTGATTTTGGATACGGCACCATATTATGTGCACAYCTTGCTCCTCCYAACTCTCTGAAYACTTTTGCATTCTCTGGATTATTTTCCAGAAGCAARCGYAGACATCCCATCAACAAGAACGAATAGTCTCTAGGTGCTGGGGCCGACACTGAGTCATCCTCTTCAGGTTCTAATGTGTTTGTATCTGTGCTGTTGTCGTTAATTGAACTTCTGAGGTTGTCTATGAAGATTATGGAGGCATTAATAAATTTCTTGATAACCTTGGAGAATTATTATTTTGTAATTGTATTTAATAATCTAATAATAATCCCTCGCAGCCGTTCTTAGTGGTGGGCTCCCCGCCGCCCGCCACTAGGAACAGCTACGAGGAGACTATTTCACAGACATCTTTCTGTTTATTTTGGGTTCCCTGTGGAAACATTTCATAAGAGAGAGAAATGGGGGAGTGAAAAGTGCCCTGTTACTAGTCCCACTCTCTTGTTGATGTAACACAGGAAGCCCACTACTTTCAGAGTAGGCTACTAAAAATAAATATAATTATTWAAAAGTATAAACTTACCATCCCTTTCCTTCAGAATAACAGCAAAATCTTTCAAACAGTTTGTCAGAACTTCTAAAATACCAATTTCTCTAAACAGGTCCTTGTATTTGGGGTTGAAGCTCACAATGCGAATTAAGAAGGATAAAGCAACTTGATGACAGTCACTTAGACTAAAAAAGAAAAACAAAAAATATATTTAAAATAACATGACATATTCAGGGTTCTCAATAATAGCTGTTAGCTGGCAAAAATTACAAGTTATTGCTAGCTTAATCACTGGTTCCTTCATAACATTATTAGTGCAGTTTTCGTAAATAAAGTCTTATATTTTGAGAGGGTAGCATGTAATAGTCTCTAGACTAATAAACTTGTGGCCCTCTATATATTCACTCATACTCACTACCTCAACATTYATTATTTTACTACACGACACTCCTCACAGCTAGTTTTTGACTGAGGGAGGAAAACCAGCGGACCTGGAGAAAAACCCTCGGAGCAAGGAAGAGAACCAGTCTACAAACTCAAATCACATATAGTCCTGGACCGGGAAGTGAACCAGGACCACAGCGGTGATAGACCGGCGTTTTAACCGCTTGGCCATCCTTGCTCCCCTGTAAATACATGTGCAGAATCTCTAGCTACTTTTTCTACAACAGCTGTCTACATTTTTCCTCCAAAAAAAACTCCAAACTATCTTCACTCACCCTTTCTTGTTGAACAAGATACTGACTGACATGAGTTCAGTGCACGGAACCCAATTAAGATTACAAATCACAAAGTCTAACAGTTCAAAGATTTTCTCTTGGACTTCTTGAGTCTTTTCTGGAGCTTTGTCAACAAACAATGAAATAGTGTGCTGTGGCTCCAGGATAAAATAATTAGCATTATCAGAACGGTAAATATTGCTAATACAGTCMAGGATGTTAAGACTTAGAAGCTTGTCTGTGGTCTGAAAGAGAAWTGGMAAATGGTCAATGGGATTATGGAATAAAACAAAATAAAATTTGAAAGATTGATTCTAAAATGAATGAATGGAAATGGAAAACAGAATGAAAAAATATCAGCTAAAAATTCTGGAATGTGAGAATAAAAAATGAATGACAAATGAATGGATGAATGAGTGAAATAAATGAAAAAAATCAATAGATTGGATAATAGGACAATGTAAACATGAATGGATAAACAACTGAATACAATGATTAGTACCTTAAGGAAGACTTTCTGCAAAACATGAAAAGCCTCTATATTCTTGACACTAACTCCTGCAATTGACAACCATGATAATTGTTCACCATTATCATCATCATCATCATCATCACAATCATCATTAAAAATATTTAAAGTTCTTATCAGTTATAAATAATTAATAATATTTTATATATTTACATGAAATTACATGTACTGTAAGTATGAATTAATCAACAGCAAAAAAATTAATCAACAGCATCATCATCATCATGGTCATTATAATCAATCATCATAAAGATTTAAAAGTATTTATCATCAAATATTATCAATAACCAATATTCATCATTATTAAAATTACTATCAAAATCAACATCATCTACTGTATTACATGTATCATCAATGATTTTGTTCAAATACCATAACTAACATTATTACTTTGATCATCACCATACCCATGTGTCCCTGACAATCCTATAGTGTACATACCTCCACCAGAAGGCTCTGGTACTTCAAAGTTAGGGTCCTGRAAGGGTGCTCCTATGCTGACTAGCGGCCTCAAGTTCACATGACCTATCATGACTAATTTAGACACCAGTAATGCTATATTCCTGCATGACTCCCTRGCCTCGTCACCCTCTATTTCTGCCAACATTAGTAATARTTCATGAAGGAATAGATAGCCTCCACAGCTACTGAAGTCAGCCAGGAGAAGATGAGAAAGACTGCTTGAATCTTTGAGACAGCAAACAAGTGCAACTATCATCTCAACAAGTTCTARTGGGTTGACGCGTTGTATTCTTCGCATGTTTTCTAGACAGTTGGCTATGCATGATTTACCTGATAAGTATAAAAAATAACAAAATGTTATGATGTACAAAAATAATGTCATCAAAAATATAGATTACAAACATTAAAACTGTGCAACATACTGTAAATACCACTAAATACTGCTAAATTATGCTAATTCTATTGTTTTCTATTGTTTAAGTAACACTATTTTGTAGTAAACAGTGGAAAAGGTTGTATGCTTTTAGTGTTTGTACTTTAGCTTAAAAAAAATAACAATGATAATGAAAATAAATAGATAAAAATTCAAAACAATTCTAAAGCAATTCAAGTTATATATATTGCTTAATTATTWAACCTTTCAAATGTTTCTTATACAGTGGGAATACAAGTTTGTTTTAATGAAATCAAGAAAGCAATGGATTGTGTAATTTGATAAAAAAAACTAGAATGATGTTAATAATGCAAACATGGTATTTCTTGATAAACCCATAAACCATAGAATTGTTCCTTGTTTTCAATGTAAAAAGTCAAGGTCTTGAATTCATCATTTCAGAGAATGAAATTGAGGAATAACAGCATGTTTTTTTCAATTGATAATGTAAATAAACTCATCAGGGTGTCTTTTCCTAGGAATCTTATTGGTTGACAGATAAAAGCCAAGAGAGTAAAACATTCAAAATATCAGCATAGATGTTTAAAATTAAGTGAAAAGATTACTTTTCAAGAGGTTAATACATTTTAAAACAGTCTTTCATGGATGAASAAAAACAACAAACCATTAAGATGACTTTGTCTTATGAATTGTATAATTTTCATTTAAAAAAGGAAATCTCTTGACCTGAAAATACAGCACTGCAGATTCAGATATATTCAAATAAAAGGTTTTCAAACAATATTATAGTGATTTACTGTATAAATGGGCTATCTTTATTATAATTCTTTGATCTATTAAATCTAAGGCTTTTGAATTGTCATTTTTCTAGTTTTATGAAATATTGATGTAACTTGCTATGAATATTTATACCTGTGACTGCTACATTAAAAAACATTGATGTTTTGAATATCCTAACTAGAAACAAGGTGATAGAAATCAAGGCAAATGTCATAACATGTGTGTATGTGAAATCTTTATTTTTTTCTTATTAATAATTCATGAATATAAAATCAAATAATTATTCAGAAATTGTGTGGATTTTGTAAAATTGTTTTGCTGGAAATAAATGTGCCATAGGTGGGTAGTTATCATTTTTGGTCCAAGCCCTCCCCACCCATGATCCTATCGTAGCCCTAGCGTTTTATGWTATGTCATATGTTTTATGATATGATAACAATGATAACCTTAACTACCTCTTGCACCTATTATTACAATTGATGATCCAGCCCTCCTATCCCATGAAAACATCCACTGATAACCCAGTCATTATTCAGGAAGTAGCATGCACAGCCGCTTTTAGTGCATTTTTTGACAAAGACTAAATATTGCTGCACAAAAAGAGGCTAGGCTGTATAAGGCAAAATAAACAATGTCTAGCCAAGTTTGACTGCATTAAGTCTTAAGATGAGTGAAGGTCAAATTTTGACTATATTCTCTTGGGGATATCATGTGCTAAATATGCTTGGAACAGATGCATGAGGACAATCCCTGCAAACATTACTGAGCGATTACTGAGCTACATGATAGAGGACAATCCTTGCAAACATTACTGAGCGATTTACTGAGCTACATGATAGATCAAACTTGAGGGTTTGTTTTTGAAGAATATCTGCGAGCTCACTGATGCTAGCTATATTGTTCTTTCATTCATTTGTATAGGTGTATTGGTAAACTATTTCTTGACCCTCCCCTCCCATGGTCCCATGAATTGATCAACAAGTTAATAAACATACAAACAACTTACCATGAATGTAGTTAATAACTTCTTTACTAAGACCATATCTTGAAATTGTCATTAGAACTTCTGAAGCACAATTCCTCCATCCTATATTATCCTTGGAACAAGGRCAAGAAATAGCAGAGAACAAGATGCAGAGGTCATCRGTGTTCATCAGCTCAGAAGCAGTAGCTGGGGAATGGCATAATTTTACTAGAATCTGACTGAACAACTCCTGAACTTGCTTTCTGTCTAATTGTTGTTTCTCAATTGATTTACCACTCGTGATATCCAATGGAGGTAGTTCATAAAATAAGCAAAGGCATTTGACCATTGACGAAGGCAAATTTGCAGCAACCATGCATTCCAACACAGGGGTTTCGCCAGAAGCCAAGATATTCAGTGCATTTAGCAAYTCSCAYCCYGATCTTCTATCTTCAGAAGATTTCAGTAGTAGAAAATCCATGACAGCAGTACTTGAAACGTCATGGTTTCGATTTGAGTGCCTTTTGCGAATCTCTCTACCCATAAGTTGAGACACATGAGCCGAGAATTGACAGACATCACCGAATCTCTCCGTCAAAGATGTCGTCCTTGYATTCGTGAATATATTACAGAATAGGGGAAGCATRCTAAAGAGAGCGTCTTCTTGTTCCCTGACTGTCATAGGAGTAGGAGAGTGACGGAATTCCATGAATAATCTTCTCAAATGGTTGAGAGAAAGCTCGTCATCTTGGTTTGGTTGGGAAACCAAATCGGGACCCGGTCTCCGTCGAATGCCCATRAACTTTCTAACCATATCCATCTTGGAATGGTTTTGAAAGCGTGGATCTTATACTGTGAATACTACACACCTACCTACATTGTCTCAATATGTTTGTAGAATTGTAAACGTATTTTTACATGGTAGAAACGTTCAATATTTTGGTGGAATCCGTCAACTTTCCTCCATTTTTGCTTCTCTCAAATGCGCGCGTACGTAATGCGAATCAACCGCTGTGCACAAATACAGCTGKAGCGCGTTTTTCTTCCAGTTTTGTGTTTCATTTTTGCGGTGGTTTCATTTTTTTTTATTTTGTTGCGAATTGGCCCAAATAATCTGATTTGTCATTAATAAGCTCGATTTTGAGACTTCTTAAAGCCAAGTTTTGATTCGCGAAAGGTAAGAAAATGATCTGTGTCCTGGAATTCATGTTTATATCGAAACTCATTACGTAAGCTGTTGATTTGATATCTCCGCTGATCTTTTTCTCTTTCGTGTCGATCCAGCTGTGACCTCTTCTWTTGTTTGCACTTCCTTATACGTTGCACGTTGTATGTATGCAAATTACTACAAGCATGCCGTTACTATTTTTGTATATAAAGTAACTTTTATAAATAGAATCAACCACAACTGTAACTTAAGTTAAGCTTAGACTAATTTAATTTCGATTGCCTCATTTGATTACTTAGACAATTATTTTGAATTAGGTATATATATAAAAAAAACAAATTAATCTATCTGACAAGCAATTTATCGTGAATGTTTGGAGCTATAATGAAATTATCTTAGCCAATTGTTAAATAAGTCTTATGTACTCAATATCTAAATGTTCCTAGTCTATCACATGCAAGAAACTAACCAATCACAGATGTCAATTCCTGGTCGTGTTCTCATCGTTGGAGCTGGACTTACAGGCTCTTTGACAGCTTGCTTATTAAGAAGAAAATTCCAAAATATAGATGTTACAATTTGGGAAAAATCCAGGGGGGTCGGGGGTCGCATGACAACAGCCAGAAGTCATAATGACCCTATGTGCCGTGCCGATACTGGGGCACAGTATATATCAGCCACGCCTAGCTACTTTGCCTCTCATGAAAGGTGAGTGACAGCTTGATATTCATATTTAATTATTATGATAGAGTACCAGACAGACATTTTAAGCTTTTTTTTTCTTTCGGGTTGGAATAGTTTCTACAAGGAGTTGCTGACAGCATCTGTACTGGTTCCATTCTCTGGTCTTATTGAAGGAGAAAAGAAGCAAGATGGAGTTCAACATTTTGTAGCCCCAGAAGGAACAAGCTCTATAGCAAAATATTTCATAAACCAATCAGGTATAAATTCTACTCTATAAAATGGTTATTGGCTTTGTCAGGTGTTGAAAAGTACTTGCAATGGCATGAAAATTGCAGCAGCAATTTCATCAACTTTGATGAAACACTTACATTCTCTATTGAATTATTACATAAACTGTCCAATGGTTAAGTAAGAAACTATTGTTATCTCAATTTTTCTTCCAGATTCAACCGTTGAATTTCATACGCACTGCAGTGAAATCAATGAAAGTGATGGCAAACAGCAATGGAAAGTAACAGATCTCCATGGAAACACGACAAACTTTGATGCTATTGTTATWACCATACCAACACCTCAGATACTGAGCCTTAAGGGAACGATAGCTACTATCATTGAAGAACACAGGAGTGTTTTTGAAAGTGTYAGATATTCATCGAGATATGCATTAGGACTGTTTTATGATCAGAATACAGAGATTCCATTCCCATGGGTGGCAAAATATGTTACTGGAGATCCTTGTATTAGATTTKTTAGTGTGGATTCAAAAAAACGAGGCAAAGGTGAGTAATTTGTTCGCATTTTCCTTTCCATTCAAAGTATAACTTCTTAAATTTTAAATAATTTACACAGTCAGGTAAATGAATCCATTCCCGTCCCCTGCAAGGACAATTTGGAATCCTGCAGAATAGAGTTGCCTGTGAACATGCTGTGAAGGAGGCTAGACCTGATTAATTTTAAAACTTTTTGTTCATCTCTTCAACAGATAAAGATAGCCTGCCTCCTTCTCTAGTAGTACATACTAGTGTTCCCTTTGGAATAGARCACCTTGAATCACCACATCAAGAAGTTGAACAACTAATTCTCACACATTTATACAAACTTTTCCCTGATCTACCAAAACCAASAAGTGTTAAATTCCAAAAATGGCGGTATTCCCAAGTATCGACTCCTGTCGTTGGTGAACCTGGATGTTTAGTGTTAAACACAATKCCTTTGGTAATTGCTGGTGGGGATGCATTTGTGCATTCCAATTTTGATGGATGCGTGGAATCTGCTTTAGCAATAGTGAARAAATTCACAAGTTCAAAAATGTAGATATTGAATAAATTAAATCCAAAAATTCCCAATGGATGTCAGCAATTTTACTGCAGAATATAATTGGATTTACTATGATGGTAACACCTCATTACCACCCTGTATTGAATGGATGCACTCTCCATGGGTGKTTCCTAGTATTSGAAGTCTCTTTCTGTTTGCAACAACAACCTGTTTTGGTCAACAAGTTCCCAATCTTAAGTAAAACACGTAACAATTAAATTAAAAATTAAAGACAACACAGTCTTCAGAGTGCTAAACAGACAGATTTTATTTCTTTAATTTGTACAATCTATCATATTATTAGTTAGTTATGAATTTTTTTGGTAGTTTTTCTTGTTTTTTTGAAAATTGGGTACTATGCATTCCTATCTATCTGAAAAAGGCTTGATATTGGTCAATAATGTTATTTTATTACTATGGTAGTCAATTAAGATTACTGCTAGCATAGTAAAAACTTGCTACAAAATAAACACTATTAAGTAACTTGTTTAAGTTAACTATTAGCTTTTATTTTGTAAAATAGTGTGTTCACATTTTATTACAAGACGCATCAAAAGGAAAACATTCAAGTAAGCTTCATATTCTTTGGGAATCTTTATCAGAAATACATGTTTTCCTGTTTAAACCCATGACTTTTAAAACTATAATTATTAAAAAAATTCCCCTATTATATTTCACCCAATCTTTGGATACTTACATGTGGAAGCCTGACAAACTTGCTAAARTCAGAACAGTGATAGTTAGAGTGGATTTCGTATGATTRTGCAAAGGCACGGATCACAACACGGACAYGGCACRGTCAYGGAACTTCAACTTRKAGGATTCCAAATTATAAAAATAAAGATTTAACAATACATCACCGCTACGGCAYGGTACGGTCACAGCAAGAAAGTACCATGTTTTTTACACAGTCATACGAAATTYGCTCTGCAACAAAAAGTAGAATTCTCCAAGTTACAGTTATTTATATAATTGAGCTGAGGCTCTATAATGGACTCCCAGCTAATATTAATAATTATAATAATTATTAGTAATAATTATTAAACAAGCAATAGCATATGGTAGACGTAGGGCATTACAACCCCTATGAATTTCCTCAAGAGTAATAYAGTCATGTGCACCATTAGTACATTGTATATTTGACCATTACTCCTTGACTTTTTTAAAACATGCAAGTATAACCCAGATGTAATGCCCTCATTCTAGTGTCACACGGTACTATAAACCTAATATAAAAATAGGCCTACGTATATTGATAATAAAGGATCATATTGCCACACTTCTTTGTTTTCAGAAACTGATTTGGTTCTAATTAATATATTTCCTTGGAGTTTTGTTCCTATAAAACACTAGTTGTTACATAGCTCCTGCATGCACAACAGTAGAATTTGGGAACATTTTATATCATGCATCAGTACTTTCAAGGGAACAATGCGTCCACCATCTTGAAATGTCGAATCAATAAATTATAACTCCTAAAAGAATTAAAAGTTTTTCAGCTAATGTCGAGTTAATATAATACAATATAAAGATAGATTAGTTGACTTAGCAACTACCAAATGTGTTCTAAGGCGCAACATACTGATTTGGGTCTCGCTTTTCAAACACCTTTTTCTTCAAAAATATTGATGCATGTATAGGGCATAAATGCACAAAAAAGATGACTTACGTGTTATAGAAAAACCATATGGTTGTATACACATCATTTTCTAGCATTGAAGGATATATATTTCATATACAAACAATAATTAATATTTGGTTCAACATTTGATATCACACAGATGCAATGGATGCCAATTATTGCTAGTCAAAATGGCAGAGTACAGAATTCCTGACATAATAAAAAAACATGGAATGTCTACAATATGTAAAATAATTTTGTCCTGTAAAATTCTTGTTGTTTAATTCATTGGTTTTTCCATGGGATATCAGAGTAACTGTATTCTTGGCTGAGTATTTGTATTGTAGAAAAATAGTTTCTCAGTTTGCTGTTGGCTTTATATTCTTGATTTGATTTTTCATTTSTATCATATCCTGTGTATGAGAATGAAAATGAATCTTGAAACTTTGTTGTAATTGAAAAAGATGTACAATCATTCAGATAACTGATTTAATTGTGATAAACAATAAAAACAAGTTCATTGAGAATTGAGAAAACATCCTTCATGATAATACACTCATAACAGAGGGGGGAGGAGTGGGGCATCAGGGGTCCCAGGGTGCTCTTTTAAAGCCAAAAAAGAGTAAAAAAAGCAAAGACTGATATGACATCATATTGATGTTATATGACGTCATAGTGATAATTTGGTATATAAGGACCCCTCCCCCCTCCCGGATATGCCCCTGCATAAATAAACCTGAGTTTAATAATTTTCAGACATCAAGAGTGTGTCAAGAGGTCATACAACACAAAACCATGTACAAGTTGTTACCAAAATTAAACAGAAAATGAGTTTAAAAATAGCCAATGGACAAACACAAATCAAGGATGGAAGGGAAGGAAGGGGAAAGAAGGGAAAGGAAGAAGAAAGTGCATATGAAGGCATAAAAGATGAACACACTGGTATTGAAAAGTGAAAAAAATCAAAAGAGAAGAAATAGGCATCACTAGCTCTGACTTACATAAGCTTAATGCAACCACATAGTTGCCAGGAAAAGTTCCAAATAGTCCAGTTCTTATTGAGTGGCCAACAAACCATCCATCATCACACTTTTCCAGAACTATAACCTCTTCTCCCTCTTCCAGAGGAAGTTCATCATCATTCTGTGGTACGTAGCTATAAGCAGCTTTATATCTGAAGAAGAAGGTTGAATGTTTTAAGTTGCGAAATAATTGAATTTCTTTAGGAAAGTAGCTCTAACATCTTGCGATGGCCTGAGTGTGCTTTGTCCTCAAAAACATTTTATGCCTAAATGATAACACTCATTGCTATAGGSATGCATCYCAYCATTTTTTTGCTCTTTATACTGTGTATTAAATKATTATTTTTGTCATGATTTTTCCAACAATATTGAGATTTGTGTRCAACCAGAGAACATCACAGTCATGTCTATAATAYGTCTACCTTTCTCCCTCCATGGGAAACACTTCATTGTCTTCTACAAATTGAGCAGGAAGGACGGCTGGTTCAGGTTCTTTACTATAAATGTACTGTACTTGTGGTTGAGGAGGAGAATGACTTTGCTGTGATGGTATTCGTATTGGTTCGCCATAGCTGACAACACAAAAATACGATYATACAAGGACGTGTAGATAAGATGATATATTGCAAGTATGTAATGTTTACTCAATTTTACTAGTCTTGAAGTAGTTGTTTTTTGATAGGAGAATGCCAAAGAAGACCTGGCTAAGAATTGAACATATACTTGGGGTGGATAGGATGCAAGCAAGGAGAGCACTGATGAAAAACTAAGAAGATGCCCCAGCTGTTAAAGGCACGCTTTGCTCTGGACCCATAAGCCGAGCGCAGGCTCTAGGGGAACACTGATGATGATGATGAATAAACATAATCAATATACCTTCGAGGTTGCTCTGATCTCTGGTCATAWGTAGTGGTAGTTGTTGTTTTTCTTATCTCTGTAACCTTTATTCAAAAATATTATCACACATTAAATGTAATACTATGCTAATTACATTCAAAGAAAGAAAAGAAAACTAGCTGCAAAACTCAAAGATACAAACAAATTGAATGAGCATAAAATGTGAGTTATCCATAGCCTCTGTAAGCAGAAGTTCCAAGCAGTTTGATCTACTTACGGAGACTAAGTCAGCCACTAGTAATCCGTAAAATTAAGCAGCTAATCTGTGACACTGAATATGCCTGCTGTCATTCATGAAAGAGCACTAATTTGAAAGGGCTCAGATGTTGAATACAATATAATTTATTATTCTAGTTTATTTGTGCTCACTTGTTGTGGAGAATGAGAAACTGGTTGTGTTTGGATCTGCTTGATTGGTTCTTCGCGTTGTACAAAATCTTGACGCTTGGGTTGCTCTGTTGCTAATGAAAATAATCAAACATTACATTATACTCCATTTTAATTACAATAACTACATGTAAAAGATAACAATCAAAAGATGATGATGAGATGATGATGATGATGGCAGTATACAAGTTTTCATTATTATTATTATTATTATTATTATCATGGATATCTTTTTCATCATTAATACAAGACAGCAGTTTGATTACCTTTTGGGGAAATGCTACCCTTCTGGGCTAGTCCTGGCTCTCGCAGTACCTGGAAAAAGGCATTAAAATAAGTCAGCACTTTTAAGATGATTCAGTTTACACTGAATTACTGACAGAGACAACTTTCCACTGCACATTCATAGATCAACGAATGAAACAAAAAAAAGAGAAAAACTATGGAAATCCTTTGCAGACAATGCTTGTCATCATTCCTATTACGCCTAGGTGGCATGTAGGGCCGCAAGTATTGGTTTCCGTAGCAATAAGTAAGTGTGATGGGGTTGCTGGCAATGCTTGTACTTATGAATAAAATCATCACAATTGTTATTTTAATTTGTGATTGCATTTTACAAGAGTTTTCATATATATTTTCATACCTCTAAATAAGCAGCTGGAATGATTCCCTTTCTTCCTTGATAAAAGGCTTCATACCAATTTTGGTCAACTCTTCTAGTGAGAGTTACAATTTCATTCTACCAAAGATAGCATAAAAAAAATAAATTAATAAAAAAACTCGCATTAAAAAAAGACAACCCCACAAAAACTGCTCCTTTGAATGTGGCCACTAAAAACCTGCTGCACATTTCTATGATTTCTAGCACTATCAAAATCAATCCACTATAATATTATTTGCCAACCTTTCCAATGCTCAGCTCTCTTGGTGACTGTGCATCAAAGTTATATTTAACTTTAGCTTCTCCTTCAACAGCAACATATGGACTAGGAGGTGATTCTTGTGTTTCTTCCTCATCATCAATGGGTCTCAACTGAAAAAAAAATAAAATAAATAAATAAATAAATAAATAGATAAATAAATAAATGAATGAATAAATAAAATGGAAAAAAATATGAGATTAAACCAAGCCAATCCATTCATAATGAGTTTCCCCAAACCCATCAAAATCTTTTTTTGTTCRCTCCTAAGCACTGAAATTTTATTGTTTTCTTGACCAATCACAAAATCGATTCASACTGGTTTGTCAGCGACCATCCATCATTGCTTATAATTGAAAACTACATTATTGGACTAAAAGTATTGCATATAGGAACTAAATATAATAAAAAAATTTGAAAGAGTTAAATTACCTCAACATGGTTGGTTGGGAATATTCCAAATTTTCCATTGATTTCTCCTTCAATCCAATTTCTGTCGATCTGTCGTTTGACRACGATATAATCTCCTTTCTTGAACGACAGTTCCCTGAGAAAAGGAATAAAATTACTTACTGATTTCTGATGATCATTTAAAAAAAATCAAGCAGCCAATGGCAGCATAACTYGCAGGCTCAAGTTTACAGGAAAGTGATCGAGCGAGCGAGYGAGTGACAGCTTGTCCCCTCCCAATAACTCTACGATTGCTACCGCAATCTCCGAGTTAAAAATGAGTGATTCAAAGCACTTACTAATAAATAAATGTCAACTTACTTAGGACTCTGTGCATTAAAGTTATACAAGGCCATAGCAAAGAACTGYGGATGTTCCGCTGCTTTCTTCGCGGCTGCCGCTGCTTCTGCTGCTTGTTTTCTTCTTCTCATTTCAGCTTCTCGTTCTCTTTGTTCTTGTTCTTCCTGTTGACGTCTCAAAAATTCACGTTCTTCCTCCCTGCGTCTTCTCTCCTCTTCCTCACGCCTCAGACGAGCTTCTTCCTCACGTTTCCTTATCAATTCTTCATCAGATGGTGGTTGATGTTTGACTCCTAGTTCTTCGGAKGCAGACCTGTTGCGCTCCTGGAAATGGACAAAGTTTGTTGATGGGGGAAAACAGTTTTAACATTACATTAAACTTTGCAAACAATAAGCTTTAGACTAGACTTGCTACAAGCTAGTCTAGTCGGACTCTCTTTGTACTAAGAAAAAAGAAATAACAGAACTCTGTACCAGGGGACTTTGTGAAAAGGGACTTTGTGAAAGTCTAGCTTTAGACATGACAAATACTTTTGATATCTCAGAACTTACATTTGCTGGAGCAGTGCCACCTCTGAATCTCTTTTCATATAAACTAGTCGCAGTTGGAGGCTTTGATTTCTCTTCTTGTTGAACTGTCACAGTAGTTGGAACAGGTCTGACAACATTACGATCTGCAGCAGACTTAGACAGTGGTGGCACGTAAAGTGGTGGTCTGTTGGCAAAGACAGGTGATTGTAGCCCAGTATAACGCTTTCCTTCATCTGAATCTGGATATGGTAAATAAAGATGAATACTATTGAGGTGAGATTAATAAAGAACCAAATGCTTCACAATGATAACACAACAGTTTTACTTTGTAAACGTTTTAAAAATGTCTGATTAAAATTACTATAATATTGTATCTAAGCCAGAGAAAAAAATCATTTAGTCTCTATGAATCTTGGCTGCAATTTTCATATAGTTCAATATGATAGCCTGTAAGTAATATCAGAAATAAATAAAAGAGTGTTTCTCCTTCTTTTTTAGCTAATAGTATATAATAGTTGTTTTTTAGTTTGCAAAAAATAATATTTGTTATTATTTATTAGTAAGTTCAATTTTTTTAATATAAATTTTGCTTTTCAGTGTTCATGAAATTTAGTGATTTTTAGTGACATAATTTAAGTGATTTTTGTGTTTGTTTTTTCTAACTATTACCACGTTTATCTACCTAATCTCAATTTACTTGCTTCCCTGCTAGCAGAGGCTTACATCATGATGGTAAATTCTGTGTTTACCGTGTAAGCCTCTGCTAGCAGGGAATTTACTTGCCATCAATTAAAACAATTTAAATTAATGTGTTAAACTAAATCTGAGAGAAAATATGGGGTACATGCTATATTATTATCTGTGAAATGATACCGTCCAGCAAAACTATAAGATTTGAAATGATTGTGCTGATTTTGTATTAGAGTGTACTTATTTATTAATAACTTGCTTTTTTTCTACTAATTTAGTAGAAAAAAAGCAAGTTATTGCAGTACATTACTAACACCATGTTCTGTTTTTTCAAGAATACATGACGTGCATTCTATCAACTAACCAGATGAAGTCTTCCTGTGGTGCACTCCATAAGAAATAGGTTCTTCCGTTGGAATTTTCTCTCCTTTCACCATATCCTGGTACCAAGTTGGCACATGGTCATGAGGTACTTGTTGAGCCCCCCCTGGAGGAAGATGTGAAGTGGGGGACATTTGTGGAAGGGAGGGTCTATGCACAGGAGGGGGGTGCCTTGCTTGTTGCACAGGCGCTGAAATCTTTCGTTGCTGAGGCTCAGATAATTCTGGCTCATACTCRACTGGTCTGGCTTGCATTGGGTGGACAAAGTCCTCAGCTGGTCCATCACCAAGATGCTCRTCTCCAGCTTTTATAGCATCATTAGCAAGCAATGCTGATAAACTTGACGWGACTATAAAAAGTTACAGCACCGTTGAAAATCTATTTTTAAACTTAAACTCAATTTGCTTTTCTGAATGTCATATCATATTGGGTGCRATTCAAAATGGGAACTTACTTAGATTTACAGTGGATAAATTTTATAAAATTGATTTTATGACTAACTGAAACCAAATCATCATTAATTTTAAACATCAAAACCCTTTGATTTATGTATATTGATCATTTGAGGTTAAAGTTTGAAACAAATTATGTGTTAGAATTCTTCTACAACAAAATTTGTTACAGCGTTAAGACACGTTTCTCTTGATAGGTCACAAATAGATTAGTTCATCTTGAATATCGAGCAGTTAAAATTTAGGTGGGTTAGTAAATGGCATTAAATGCATGCATGCATGTTTAGTAGGTACATGTACAATTAGACTGTCAGGTATTATCACTGTTAAACTGATGTAATATTAACCCTCTATTTTACAACTCCCGAGACATCATAAAGTTAACCAAGCCAGTGCATTAAAGAAAGACAGCAGAGGAGCTTGCAATGATAGATACATTCTGTACCTGTGAATAAACTGTAATTGTTCTATGTGCGAACAAAAGGTATCTATCACTGCAAGCTCAACTCCTGTCTTGCTTTGATGCAAAGATTTTGGTTACCTTTCAAGATGGCACTTGTGACTGTAAAATCTAGCATTGTGTCTAATAATTATTGTTCAAATATTCTAATCTGTTATTTTTCATGCAAGMCTAACTCACAAATCAATGTTAAACAYATTAACTTGATTCAGTAGTACCTCCAGCAGTAGCATGCATATCTTTGAACATTTCTTTGTACCATTTGGTCCCTCTTCTGATAGCCTACAAGCAGAAGAAATAAATAATTATACTTTTAGCAATAAACAATATTTAAATATTAAAGTATTTTTAATTATCTATTTATTATAAATTTCCTCACAGGTCGACTCGGTCCTTTATATCTCTCTTCYTCCATGATATTGGGATAACGTCTCTCTGGTTTGGCAGGAGGTGGGGGAGGTACTTTTTTTGGTAAAGGCTTGGGTTCTTTGGTAGCTGAAAATACATAAATAATATGAATAATATGCCATGAATTTTCTTTATGCAGCATTGTAAAGGCCTGTTTATGCAAGTTGTGCCTGCAAAACGAACTGTGATTGTTTGCCAACTGAAAATCCCCATGAAATTGCTGCAGCTGAATTTCAAGTATGTACTATGAAACAATGGTCACACGATGATCACCATGACAATTGCGTTGCACAATTGCGAGTGCAAAAGTGCCTTGAGTTAATAACTACATGCAGGATATTTAGTACCTTCTATTTCAGCATTTACTTTTTGTTTTCTGAACTGGTTCATAGCTGGACGTTGGTTGATATTTTGCTGACCTGAGTCCTGACTACTRGTGTCACCATTGGCCATGTTAAAATCCTCTTCTGATCCGATGGAGCTGGATGTTAGCCTGRGTTTGCACATTGAATAACACTCATTACTATAATTATAGTAATATTGTTACTTACGCAAAAAAAACACCAACATTTAGGAGCTATATTGTTCCATTTGAATACACACTTTAGCTACCTATGCACTAAGTTCATAATGGCTGATACTAGAGTTGCACGACAAGGTATGTTCTGTTCTGTTTGCATCATGCATGTGCGCATGGTTCTGTTTCCTAATGCACCAGTAAACTGAAACCATGTGACCCCATACCCCAGGACAATGCCCTAATTGCATGCATGTTGGCTTCCGTGCCTTTGCATCGAAGCGAAACAACCGTTGAGTGTGCAATAATAGAAACCTTCTTTCACACCTACAGACAATTATTCACAGGTTTCTATCATTGCACACTCAATGGTTGTCTTGCTTCGATGTAAAGGCACAGCTACCTTTCAAGATGGCGCAGGTAACTGTGAAGGAGACTATTCGTTTCTGCCCAACCACTCCTCTCTAGCCTGCGTAGCAAGGCGTTCCTAGCCGCTCCAAGAGAGTTTGGCCCAGAGAGAACAGGCCGAAACTCTCTCAGAGCAGCTAGGAACACTTGGCTAYGCAGTCTAACTCCTCTCATATTACAAGCAACTACTGATAAGCATAGACTTTGGCTGGTGTTTGGCGATGTAAAAACAGGCTCAGTTTACTAAACATCCAACCAACGTTACTTATATCATTTTAAAAGGTCATCGTTTCCTTTGCCTTTAACTGATCCGTAAATCGCCATTGATATCATGAATATCGTTAGTACAATCTCCAGTTTTATGAATGAACATAGTGCAATATAATGTGTTATAAAAGACAACAATAAATTGTAGTGTTTAATGCATGCATAACTCAACGGTCATTTTATTTCTTATCTCTCAATTGTGCTAAACTTCATGTGCAAATCAGCAATCCATGCATTTTCAACATGCAGTCAACCATTCATAAAATCGATACATAAAAAAATGTAGTCACTGGCCATTGTAAGTGTTCATTAGTTTAAATTTTCATTGTAATTTTAAGTGGTGCAAAACAAYCAATGCAGTGTAGCTGATTAATAATTATTTGTTAATCAAAATTGCTTATTATTAAATTTAAATTGCATGCATAATGCAGCTTCATGAATTGCATGTGAAGTGTCGATAGGCAAGTAATAGTAACTAATTTACTTAATTTAACTACATAAAGTACAAATAAATTACAGTATGTTTTATTGTTTATTGGCTTTATGATTATTAGTTAGGTGCACACATTGTTCATTTTGAGATCAAATAATAATCCATTAGCATAATGATAATGATGCATTGTAAGTGTAAATGGTTTTAATTATCAAATTATTATTAATTATACTAACGGTGGATGGCCGTAAGACTCATTTGAAGAATCCACAAATCTAAAAATAATAAAAAACATCAACAAAACAAAAGAAAAATGAAGTCAAATGTAAGTATGATAGCGAAGAAACTCAAGTTAAGTACGGACCACAGTCTTTCAGTTAGTATCATTTTATTGCCTTAATTTGTTAGTAATATTTTGTTATTTCRATAATACCAATTAAAATTACTTTTGTTCGAATTACCAATATTATCAATTAAGACAGAGTAAGTCTAGAGACAAGATCAAAAGATTAATTCACATCAAAATCAAAGGTTAACGCACATGCATGAATGACATTTCACAGGTTTGTGTTCCACATTGAAGGGAGTCAGTCTGCCGTACAAGGTTATAAAAGGATTATTTTTTAAATGATCTATAATTACATAACATATTATGTCTTTACCCATTACTTTATCATTATACTAAATCTTTATTGTTATAATTTTACATTAATATTACATATTAATATAATCTTTATTAATGTCATGCCATTACTGAGTACAGCATTTTATATTTTACCAAAAAACAATTATTATGGATTATTGTATGTTCAGTTGTTCGTTGAGAGACTACATGTACAATTGGCTGAGTAGGAAAGAAAATAAGACATGGCTTTAAATWAGTKTCCTGATTTCTTTTTAAGATCTTTGCACCTCATAGCAGAACTTAAGCAACCATWCTGYWWCCTGTGTGCATAGTRAGAGTATAGCAACATTGTAGCAAGSAATAGRCACAGGTATAAAGTGTTGGACTGCTTTTTCATTAGTGAAGGACTTTTTAATACAATAATGGTAACATGGACTGTACAAGTTCTGGAAATCAACTGCTTAAGGTCAGTAATTTGTGATAGATTGAAAAGAGCATCAGGTAAATTTGATAACATTGTTAACTGCAARAGGAAATMAAAAGATGCACACCTTGTGACAGTAAAAATCCCACCTGACTGACAGCAATCATTTATTAAATATTTGTGACATTTTATTCTTTGACAAAACACAGAACTATAGTCAATTAAAACAAATAAATAACGAAAACTTTAGAGTGATGAGTTAAGAATGAATGGATTAGATTAAAAGATRTTGTATTTAATATAAACTGCAAAATTATTTTCAAAGACAAAAACAAGGAATTGTAACWAGTAAATGTAAAGTTCTCTAAACTACAAACCTTCGGCCACCTCTTCCAATTGGCTGCGGCTTTTCAAACACTTTCGGAGGCATTTCAGGTGGTGGAGGTAAATCTGTAAAAAGCAATGTACATTATGTGAGTTTAATGAGTGATTTTATCAATTAATCTGTCAATCTATCAATAATATTATTCAATTTTCATGAATTTACAAAATAATGCCACAAACATGCTGATAGTCTTATTGCATGCTGTGGCATTTTTAATAAATATTTTCATTGCTAAATTTATAAACAACAACAACATGACTAGTTGAMTGACTAATTCATTGATTGACTGATTGACTAGTTAACTTTATTGATTAATTGAATGATTAATTGTATGACCAACTGATTRAATGATGATCTTAAATGTTTTGATTAATGATTAACGGGAAGTTAGAGCAACTTCTGGAATTACAGACACAGGTGGCAGCTGTATTGCAAAGGAAATKATATTCTTCAGATTSAWAGATYTCGGCAGTGGTAGACGTTTTAGTCTYGACACTCATCAGCAAACATAGTGCACACTCTACACAAGCTGTTAGATGAACATGCGAATATATTATATTCTACGTATGTACAGTTATGCCTCATAAGGATTGCGTCAATGCTGCATTCATGTCACCTTTTGGCACATCRGCTAAAAATTCATATCCTTGGTGTAGTTTGATTTTCTCAGGAGGTCGTATTACATTAGTGATTATTTCAGGGTCCCATTCAGATTTACTATTTACTATAAAGAACACAAACATGCATGGAAACAATAATTACAATTCATTGTCAATAATGTTGCAATTAGAGAATATTTATTACACACTTATTAATAGTATGTATGACTTTATAAATGGCCCTAAGTTGTGTTTAACAATTTTTAATCTGTATTAGTGTTATTAATCAAGATTGAAGACATACTGTATACATCTGTACTGAAAGTATGTGGTGAACATTACACTTACTGGTTTACTGTAGTACAGTTAACATGCATTCAAAATATAAAGTCAATGATTGAATGTTATTTAGCACTGAGGTCTACAGTATTTATCTTAAAAGATTGAAACATCTGTCGAACAAATTTTGATTATCTAAGCCAGAGGCTAGTACTTCCATTATGAATCCTGGCTACAATTATCTGACCATAATTATTTTTGAACTACTCCTTTGCACTTAATTGCCATATATCACGACTAGTCATTAAATAGGTATTATACACTATTAGCATCACTATCAAAAACACGAATCACAACAACATACTCACCTTCACTAGCATAAGTTTCATTAAAGTTTTCATCCAGTTCYCTCCATCCTGGYCCACCTCGTGGAAGGGTAGCATAAGGAGGYGCCTGACTAGAGGAGGGTTTAAATGTAGCTTTGCTGACATGGGTACTTTGGATGTCTTCTGTTGTGTATGAACCACTTGRTGTCGGTTGTGAGAAAGTCTCTGGTTTCCTGGTTGTTAATAGATTGTACAAAGATGTTTATGTATTGTAAAGTGATAACAAATTGTGCAGTTACATAATACAGTGAGTTTTTATTACTACTAGAGTGATCGCACTTGAACCGTGCAACTGTACAAAAATGTAAGTAGTATTAATTTGTACTAAAAGTGGACCTGAAGCAAGACTGTATTGAATGCTTCATTTGTATCAATTCAATTTAATTTGCGTACCGCATGCACAATTTACTAAACACAACTAAATAGTACAATTAAGTTTGTACAGTTGCACGGTTTAAGTGCGATCACTCTAACATTTGTAATGTTATTTAATGATATTGACATCAACTTCGACCTTACTTTATATATGCTTTACAAACATTTTTTATGGCATGTACATAATTTAATTGRCTGCTGGTAGGACTCTAGTAATGACCAATTCTTTGTACACATTAAATTGGAAAATGATACACAAACAAATTCAGTAAAATCGTTTTGAAATAGTTAGCACCAATTACTATTGAAATGACATGATTATCCAATAGAAAACAACTAGGCATTATTATAATAAATCACTAATTGTTAAGATATCTATTTAAGTCKTGTTATTTGTAGGCTATAATTAAGTCAAATAGATACAAAGAAAACAAAGCAATTAGGGATTATTGATAATAAATTATAAGATTATCAGCTTGTTATCTATTTTACTATTTCTTTTACCTCACTTTACTATGTTTATATTGATGCAAACCCTTTGTTTCTATTATCTCATTATTCTTGTACAGTTTGTATCATGTTGATAATAATATGGATGAATGGACTTCAAATATTTAAACCTAAAATCATGCAAAGTTGTATTTCACTGTGCAATGACTCAAATGGGCTTGAAATCAAAGCAGAAACTGTTSTTTGTAAGRAGCCATGTATTCAATTTAACCCCAGGAAGAGCACAGATATGAAACCTACTGTTGAAATGTGATGCTTGTTTTGGAAATYACTTTATGTTCTGTCATTTTGCAGTCTTTGAATCAGTGTAAATTTGATTTAGTTCACKGTGAAGTCYTCACTAGGAAACAGCTAATATCACCATTGAAATAGCCACCAGAACCCTCGGAGTAAGTAGCAAAGAGTTCATTTGTCCTGAAACATTATCTGTCTTTAAGACAAAATCACTATAAAGGTCAAAGGTGAGCTACACCTTTCTGAACACATGAGATATTGTCACACACAGAATCATACAGCGTAAACTWAKAGCAMATCATTCTTAAAGACACAATAACACAATACTTATCAAAACAAAACATTTCAAAACAACACAAGTAAATTCAAATAACATCAATATTGAATTGTGTTTTTTTTTAGAGTGAGATGCTCCTATATGGGGTTTATATCTGAGGTTATGATCTTGAATTCTGATATGCATAGTGCTATTTGAGCCACATGGGTGTGATAATATATGTCATTAGCATCATAAAAGCATAGCTGGTTATCTGTAGCCTTTTATTCATAGCTATAAGCAATGTCTAGAAGGTTGCATTCATAAAACACGTCTAGTTTACTGGTGCAATGCTCATGGCAAGTTCCTAGATCCTTCCTACTGAGTCACAGTTGTAAAGGCGGTCTTACAGTTTTGAACTTCAAACATTGTGTGTGGGAGGCTCGAAGATTATTTTACACYCTAAGAGACTTCGCTGTCAGGTCTGTTAATTATGTCCACAACTACAGYAATTTTGAAATGAGAGATACTACGGTCATTTCAAACTACCAAATTAAGCTTGCACAGATTATCAGTCAAGGATTACATTTGACGTGTTTACAAAAGCCTTKKWAAWKSMAAAMCMAMMWCAGCCTGAGAGTGTTGAAACACAACAGAATCCAGTATTATAGTCCATGATGGGCATTCAGAATAGTGCAAGAGGAGTATAAAGGATAGCCAAACCTGCATCAGGGGGATGTCGGCATTTAAGGTAAGTTAATTATAATAACCATGTGATGTTAACATGTGCTTATAATATGTTAGAATTAGTACTTTAAGAGTTACAAAAGTATTATTTGCCATATATCTGGTATAATTACTGCATATCACAATTGACCTAGTGTATAATAAGCATTGACTGTAAACTACACTATAGTACCTACTTGTAATTACTCTATTTATTCACAAATAAAGAGGGCATTGCATTAATTAATATAACCATGCATTATTCATTAAGTTTTTTAATCTTAAATAAATAAAACATGGAAGCTTTAGTTCAAAATTAACTTACAGTATCTCGTATTAAATCTATTACATATTTTCAATAGTATTTTTAAGAACAAAACAACAGCCTTCAATTTTGCCATATTTTCAATAGCTAACATAAAATAAGTTTAGTGCATTTCAAAGAGMAGCTGCAGCTCCATCGTCAAAATAATGAATTCTAGTTTAGAATTCATAGTCGCGAGTAATATGTTTTGAAAGTTCTTTGTAATTGCACAAGCCTGATAGGCTTATAGGGCCTCTGTCTATATATTATACATTGCTTACCAGCAAAGYTCCAATTCTAGATGATTACCAGTCTTTTTAACAATATTCAAAGCTTCGCTATGCGTGAGTCTCTCACTTGGGCAGTCRTTGATGGCATGTACATAAAGACCTTCATATATGTTAGCTTTTTGTGCTTTGCTTCCTGGAGTAATCTAAAGACAGAAAAAATAAAATATTTTTTTGATCACCATTATAAGATTGCTACATCTAGTTTTCACTGCAGTCTTCAGATATTTTAGGTTTTTCCTCGAGTGTGCCTGACAAAGCCATGTTACATGTTTTATGAGCCAAGAACTAGTGAGAAATCTTTTGCTGAAGTACCACCAATATGGCTTCCTTTAAGTCATCAAAAACGTATTGTATTTTCAAAGTTTGCTTGTCTCAATTTGAGGCAATTCTTTGTCATTTTAATCTGTTTTTCTACATTTTATGTCCCTGTCTGGCAGCCATGATCCATAGCATTAAGATAACAATGTTTTGATGATGTCATAGCAAAATAGAGCTGTTAGTATTTCAGTTTCACAGTATTATGCAAATCCTTTAAAATAATTGAAACTTCAGGTTGTTTGCTGTTCTTAGAGTGACAAATGAATGCCGCCAAAACCTTTGAGTGTTTACTGTTGCTTAATGAAAATAGATGGCTATGACAACACAAACTTGGACTCTGAACACAACAATTCTCATCAACTTTGCAGTAAACATGCCAGCAAGATGACGGACTTCAAATACAAAAGTACACATGTATCATTGAAATAGAGCCAAATGTCTTTGTTTAAGGTATTTTAACCCAAGGAAGTTTATATTCTAGAATTGACTCAAAAGTTATGATTGCATGGTATTATTTTCACAAGTTTTTATGAAGCTAATCTACCTCCATTACAAGGGAATAACCAGAGATTCTTTAGGGAAGGGAAACAAGGAGGGTAGAGGAAAACAAGTTTGGGAGCGAGAGAAGGAAGGGGGATGAAGGAGGAGAAGGCAGCAAAATAGTCATGGGAAAAAGCCACATACTTTTGTCAGACCTTTAAAGAGCTGGTCACAAAACAAAATTATGTAAGACCACAATACATTARGGTCATGATGCATTATCAGTCAGGGTCATKTATWTTGTAGCACCTTCGTTTTGGCACCACTACAATATTCAACCCCACCCTCCACTCCCCCAAAAGATAATATCATATTCATATCATTATCCATTCAAGTTTACATCTAACATTTGATAACCTTATAGAAAAGCCTGGGGATATATATTTTCATTATTTTATAAGGGACATAAATCAAGATATACAAGAGTATCAAATACATTAGATAAACAAAGAATTATGAGAYTTTCCAGATTTAACTAATCAATAATTAAACATTGTTGAGATATTTTCTAGCTAATGAAGAAGTGATAACAGAGAGATTTTCTAATTATCATCATACAAGTATTGTAGACAGACATTTTACAGGTTCTAACAAAAGGCAATTAAAAAAACTGCTATGAAATATGTCAATTTTTTCGTCCCAAGATTTGACTGTTTAATTGTGGTAGTCAAACACACAAAAGAATACAATTCTATTAGCATACTTTACATGTATTACATTAATAAATAATTTATTTTTAGGATAATTTCAGATATTGGTTATGATGATGGTTATTTTATCTATTTATTTCACACTTCCTTCACTTCCAACATCCAAGAAGAGTCCTTTTCACATTATCAACAGGGTTATTTGCAGCAAGGTAAAAAAAAATAAACTTTTTAAATAATATGAACTCCAATTAGACAATTTTAAATGTCATCAAAAAATGAAAGATAAATGGCTAAAATTATTAAAATGGTCAAAAAAAAAATGAAAGATGAATGACTGATTGAATGGATGAATGAAAAAATGGATGAMTACAATAGGTTAATACAATGGAATGTTAATATTCATGCTGGAWGTACAATATTGTTTACATCATTTACATATTTTATGAATGAGTGGGTCCCAGCTTTGTCTAGATACTATTTACATTGAAAAATTACTTGAGCATAAATGAATACTAGCAGCTTCGTGTGTACAAAATTGGCAACACAACGAGTGAGAAGGTTAAATYATTCGACATATTTAGGCCGTATGGACCACATACTATTAAAGAATGCAATAAAAACATTCAATGAATTATATTACCCAATGAAAACACTTTATTTAGCAGCTACGACCCTAAAGATTAGCAAAGAAAATATCGAAGAGGTCTACAGCGTTGTTAAAACAAAACTGACGCCAACGACCTTCACCCGGCAACCACGACAAGAGGGATTTGAAGTTGCTTACATTGTAAGAAACATATGTYTAAGGAATTCGGCCCGTATACATAACAATGGCATGGGGATAAATTGTTAACATTTGTGTGTTGAAATCCCGGAATCGAATACATTAAGTAGCACACTTTTCGCATAGTATAGGGGGATTTTGAAGGCTTAGAGTGCTTTAAAATCCATAAACTTTGGTCGTTTTGAGATATTATGTCAATAAAGCTTGCAGGGGACAGTTTTACTGTTAGATGCTGTCGAAACCTYCGTTCGCCGGCTCTCGATTGAATTTCGAATCAAAACAAATTCCTGACAATACATATCAAATAAATAATTCGATATCACAATCAGAAAAAACAACTACGATTACACAAAAATCCTAAGCCAATTTAGAAAGCAATTTGTGTAGGAGTTAGAAAGGCTAAACTCGATTCAGTCCAGGAGTCTTTATAACCACTTCTTAAAGTACCACGTTCGGCATGTTTACAAACGGTAATTTAGRAGAATTGAAATCTATTTATAAAATGTCGGAAAATAAATCATTTGAAATATTTTCAAATGGATATAATTATAAATATATCCCAGATGGACATTATCAAATAGATACAGTAGATGTGTGATTTATAAAACTGATTGTTAATGACAGTAAGCCCTCTAAAAACCGTGGCTTTGCGATGAAAGACACGAATGTTCTTCGGAAGTGTTCTTCTAAACTCCAGAACATCTTAACACAGGACAACAATTCCTCCAAACCAAGTAATCAAAGATAAAACTAATGTAATAGTTAAAGAATCTAAAGTCCTACTCAATAAAAATATATTAAAATTAATATGCAAACRTCGTTAATGACACATCGCGACGTCCATACGTTAACAGCTCGCAAAAACTCCACATAAAAAAGAAATCCAGCCATCACTAATACAACAATAAACTTACTTTTGCTATCCTTAAAGGAGCCCTGAATTCGCTACCTCCTTGAAGCCGAAATCCCCAAGGAGCTCCGCCAGATAACACTACTTTGTAAACTTCAGAGGACGCCATTACTGAACGGCGAGTGCTACCCAGAAACCACTGCGCGCTTGGCTTCACCGGGATCTGTTTTGAATGTCCTTATATGGAGAACAGCGAAAATGGGRAATTAAAGGAAGAAAATATGAAATATTTACAAATTTTGCCATTTTGAAGTTGTTTAAAAGTACATACCCTCGCAGCATTGTCATTTTCATGTTAGTTTTTCTCATTATCAAACAACGCACGTCTGCGAAATCGCTCACTGATGACACTTTTTGATTGTTTTCACAGAGCTATCTCCTACAATTCTCACACTTCTTTCCGACTATTGCTATCACAGGACAAGGATGACTGTTGTTGCTGCAGTTGGCCTTAATTCCGCCTTTTGTCTGAGCTCCACAAATGACTTCATAGCTTAATATTGTAATTGAGCATGACTATAATTCAGCATTGGTCATTCCCTATATGAGCGATAATCTGAATAAACACATTAATCTAGCATGAGTACGATTATTTGTTTGCATTTTGATCATTTSAACGGTCCTAGTTATGAGTCAAATGCCACCAACGAAGAAAACAACGAAGAAACAACGTGAAAAGTTGTTCAGTTGAATGTTAACTTCTGTGAGCGGACAACATTGGGACAGGGGCGGCGGAGCATTTGCAAACGTTCATGTGTAGTCATCACT